CCACACTATTGTCTGTGTCCATTGGTTATGCATATATGCATATAACTTCTTTGGTTTATCTCTTTCTGCACCCCTCTTCCCTCTGAGGTTCGTCAATCTAACAACCAATTTGTACTTCGTAATCCCTTCACCTTTATCACCCATCCCCCCAACCTCCCTCCCATCTGGCAACCATTAAAAAGTTCTCTGTATCCGAGTCTGTTTATGTTCTGCTTCTTCATTTGGTTTGTAGATTCAATCGTTAATAGATATATATTTATTGCCATTTTTGTTTATATAGTTAATCTTCTTCTTCTTCAAGAAAACCCTTCAACATTTCATATAATACTAGTTTGGTGGTGATGAACTCCTTTAGCTTTTTCTTGTCTGGGGAGCTCTTTATATATGTCCATCTTGGTTGCAGGTCCTTGCTTTTGATCACTTTGAATATTTCTTGCCACTCCCTTCTGGCCTGCAAAGTTTCCTTTGAGAAATCAGCTCACAGTTAACGGGAGCTCCCTTGTAGGTAACTAACTCTTGCGGCTTTTAAGATTCTCTCTGTCTTTAAACTTTTGTATTTTAATTATGATGTGCCTTGGTGTGGGAGTCTTTGGGTTCATCTTGTTTGGGACTTTGCGCTTCCTGGACGTGTATGTCTGTTTCCTTCACCAAGTTAGGGAAGTTTTCTGTCATTTTTTCTAATAGGTTTTCAATTTCTCTCTCTTCTCCTTCCGGCACCCCCATATTATGCAAATGTTGGCACGCTTGAAGTTGTCCCAGAGGCTCCTTACACTATCTTCATTCTTTTAGATTCTTTTTCTTTTTGTTGTTCTGATTGGGTTTTTTTGCTTCCTTATATTTCAAATTGATGGTTTGATTCTCAGCTTCACCTACTTTACTGTTGATACCCTGTAATTATTCTTTATTTTAGTTCGTGCATCTTTCATTTCTGACTGGTCCTTTATTATGCTCTTAAGGTCCTCACTAAGTTCCTTGAGCATCCTTATAACAGTGTTTTGAACTCTGCCCCTATTAGCTTGCTCATCTACATTTCATTTAGTACTTTCCTGAAGTTTTATTGTTCTTTCATTTGGGACCTGTTTGTGTGTCTCCTCATTTTGGCTTTTTCCCTGTGTTTGTTTCTATGTATTAGGTAGAGTTGATACATCTCCTAGGCTTGGTAGGGTAGCCTATTATAGTAGGTGTCCTGTAGGGTCCAGTGGCACAGCCTCCCTGATCACCCCAGTTGGGCACTCGAGGTGCACCCTTCGTGTGGACTGTACACCCTTCTGTTGTAATTGAGTCTTGATTGCTGTTGGCACATCAATGGGAGGGATTTACTCAGGCTGATCAGCTGCAAGGACTGGCTGTGCCCACTGAGCTCTGACCACCTTGGAGAATCACCAAGGAATCCACCACACAGAGCGAGACTTCAGCAGGGATCTGGTGCCCACTGAGTCCCCCCCTTAAGAGGGTCACTTGTGGAGGTAGTTGGGTTGTGGTGCTTTGACGTGGTCTGAAGCTGTCCACTGGGTGTGCTGGCTCTGGAGCCTCCCAGGAGGTGCAAGCCAAGGTCATCCACTGTCTGTGTTCTATCTGGGGCCACGATAAGCTAAAAAGCAATCTGCAGATGGCCGCTTCTTGTGCTGGGCTTGGAGGTGCCCACGCAAGGCCAAGCTGTGAATCTAGGCCGGCTACTGCTAGTGCCAGGCCTGGGGCCACGTAGCAAGAGGTATGGGGCTCACTGTGGCCAGATGCTGCTTGTCTGAGAGAATTTAGGAAAACCCGAAGCATGAGCCACTAGAAACAGCTTGAGTGGACCTGAAAGTTAGGGGTGTGGGGTGGGGGCAGGGCCTCTGGGAATCACCAGAGTAGGGCAAACAGTGTGAGCCAGGTACTGGAGTCTCAAATATGGTGCCCATCTGCTGGCATGTGGGGGAAGGGCTCACCAAAGGAACAATGGCCTCCGCCAGCATGACTGTCCCAGAGAATGCTGCCTCTCCAGCTGCCGCTCCAATGCCATCAACAAAGTTCTTCCCCATAAGTCTCTGGTGCCTTTCAAGATGCCTCCCCTGCACTGTAGCCAGGAGGGAGGGAGTCCGAGTAAGTCCGTGCGCGGGCCCTTTAAGAGGAGCTGCCTGGGGCTCCAGAAGCCTCAGCCTCCTTCAGGCTGTTTCCGCTGGTTTTTCCAGCCAGAGTTATGGGGACTTCTCTTCCTGGCCTGGAACCTTGAGCTGAGGGGGGTCTGGTGTGGGATGGGGGACCCCTTTGCTCCTCCGAGAGGACCTTCATAGCCACCAAGGTGTCCTCCTGATTTTTATCCTGCACAGTGGGTGTGGGACCAGCCCGTCCTCGCCCAGCCTCCGCCCGCCCACCAGTCTCACGTGGCTCCTGTAACCTGTCCTCGCAGGACTTCCGTGCTGCTCCGTTCCGGGCGGTTCTGAAGGACGGGGTTTTGTAGTTCAGTTGTAATTTTGATGTGGTTATGGAAAAAGGCAAGGACCACGTTTACCTATGCTGCCATCTTGACCGGAAGTCAAAATATTCTATCCCCATTGATATTTTTAGAGCGGGAGGGAGGGAGGGGGAGAGAAGGAGAGAGAGAGAGAGGAAGGGAGAGGGAGAAATTTGAAACATCAATGAGAGAGAAACATCAATCAGCTGCCTCCTGCACGCCCCCCACCGGGGATTGAACCGTGGCCAGGAATCAAACGAGTGACTTGTTGGTGCATGGGAGGGTGCTCGACCAACTGAGCCACACCAGCCAGGCTGTTTTCCTTGTTTTGTTTCCGTGTTTCATTTGGATAGCTTCTTTTGCTGTTCCTTCAGGTTCACCAGTCATTTCTTTCAGTGTCTAATTCTTCTAATCCTATGCAGTAAATTTTTATCTCAGCCATTGTGGTTTTCATACTTAAAAGTTTAAGATGGGGCTTTAAAAAATCTCTCATGTCTCTACATAACGTGCTTTATAAACATGTTTAATCTTTAGCTTCATAGAACTGTATTCTACAGAACAGTTATAATAACTTTTGATGCCTTTTTCTGTTATTTTTTATATTTGTGTCAATTTTGGGTCAGCTTTGATAGACTGAATTTTCTTCTCATTATGGATATATTTTCCATTTTAATGCATGCTAATTTTTTGTTCAGTGCAAGGTGTACTTTTACTTTGGGTGCAGATATTTTTGTATTTCTGTAAATATTCTTGAGTTTTGTTCTGAAGTACTTGAGTTACTTGGACATAGTTCCTTTCAGATTTTATTTTTCACATTTGTTAGGTTGGAGCAAAGCAGCATTTGGTCTAAGCTAATGGTCCTCCACTCCGGAAGCGAGATCCTTCTCATTACTCTACCCAGTGCCCACTGTTGGCCAGTGGGGCAGGCTCTGTTCCTGCTCCGGGTGAGCTCTGGCTGCTGCTTCCTCTCATGCTCCTTGTTCATTTATTCCTTGGCTTGGTTGCTTTTCGCACTTGCATGCTTTGATCAGTACTCTGCTGAATTTTTTAAGGGACCTCTGTGCATATCTCTGAAGTGCTTTCTTTGTAAAGTTTATTCTTTTCTGATAACTCTACCTGCCTCGGTCACAGACTTTTGACTCCATATCCTCAGCTGAGGGGCCCATCAGGCTCCAGCTTGGTTCTTTTCCCTGCACGATACCAGGGCACAAGGAGTTGACAAGAGTAACATCTGGTTGAGAGAAGCTTTAGGAGATGGTTGGGTACTGCATGGAATAATCAGGACAAGATCTTATAAGATATATTGAAGCTGTATTTTAGGAAGATGCAGATGACCTTGTTGAATATGTTAACCAGTAAGTGGCGAGTAGGGGATGTTTGATTTTCTGCTTCTGGCCTTGCCAACCCACAAATCACTGAGGAAGTTGCCGGTCATGACTCAGTGTCTTCACCAGGAAGTGGATAATTCTTGATTCTGATCAACTACTGATGCTGTCAGTGATGTCCAGATGCAGCTTCTCCAGAGGGGCTCTGGGTGACCAAGTGGCAGCATGGCACAGTACGGGGAAGATTCAGCCCCTTGCTTCCGGTGGATTTTCCTGTAGAGAGGAGGTTAACGGAGCCAGGCCTGGATTCCCAGTTAACCATCAAGGTGTGGGTGAAGGAGAGTTATAACTGATACGTGCTCAGTCCAAGCAGCAATTTTCAACCAGTGTGCTGTGCACACCGGTGTGCCACAGAGTTTTTAAAACATGCAGTACCTGACTCTAGTCATCGGCACTGACCGCTTTTTCCTTAGATGTGTAAAGAAAAGACAACGGCCAACACAGAATAGCTCTCTGGTGAACATGAATCAAAATCATACCTGTTTTTTTTTTGGTCAGATCAGCAGAAAATATATTTTTTCGGTGTGCCACAGAATTTTAGTAATTAGTTTTACGTGCCATGAGACGGAACAGGTTGGAAATCGCTGGTCTGGAGCTTTGCTCTTCAAAACGCGGTCCCCAGAGCAGCAGCAGCACTGGCATCGCTGAGCTGCCTGACTGCGGACCAGCGAGGACCGCCGCGATCGACCGAGTCTGTGCTGGGACAAGGACCCCAGCTTTCTCGTGTGCACAGTGAAGTTTGAGGAGCACTAGTAGTTTGTTTTTTTATCCTCACCTGAGGACATTTTTCCACTTTTAGTTCAGATACAGAGGCAAGGAGAGAGGGGAAGAGAGAGAGAAACATCGACGTGAAAGGGACACATCGAGTGGCTGCCACCCACACGACCCAACCAGGGCCGGGGACAAACTGCAACCGAGGTACATTCCCTTAGCGGGAATCGAACCTGGGTCTCTCTGGACCGCAGGCTGACACTCTAACCGCTGAGCCAAACCGGCCAGGGCAGCACTAGTACTTTCAATCAGCAATATATTGTACACTTAAAATGTTGTTAAGTGTTCTTTGCCCAATTAAATAAAATTTTAAGTTTGAGGAGCATTGTTCTAAATGTGAATGGTTACACATGCCCTCTGGTGGCTGCCCAGCAATTTGCAGGTAACTTTAAAATGTTTTCTTATTTTAGGACCTTTGCACAGAACTGCCGAAACATTGAACATTTAAACCTCAATGGGTGCACAAAAATCACTGACAGGTAAGTAATGAAAATTAGTTTAGAGATGAATTGGCCATGGGGAGGCATAGAGGAGAGAAACATGGTTGAAAATATCTTTAGTGCCTCTGCTCTTTTTCAGCACGTGTTACAGTCTTAGCAGATTCTGTTCCAAGCTGAAACATCTGGATCTGACTTCCTGTGTGTCCATCACCAACAGCTCCTTAAAGGGGATTAGGTAAGAGGACCTGTCGTTTGTGGTCAAGAGAAATACCCAAAGCTGTGAACATTTTAGTGTGTCTGAAACCTTTCTGATTGTCATAGAGGTTTTCTCTCCCGATTTGCGTGTGATTTACTAAACTCAAGGTTGGTAACAAATTCTCGACAGGCAGACCGCACATGCGTGGTTTTGTTTCTCGTTCTCAGTGAGGGCTGCCGGAGCCTGGAGTACCTGAACCTGTCTTGGTGTGATCAGATCACGAAGGACGGCATCGAGTCCCTGGTGCGAGGCTGTCGAGGCCTGAAAGCCCTGCTCCTGAGGGGCTGCACGCAGGTACCGCGGGGCTGCACGCAGGTACCGCGGGGCTGCACGCAGGTACCGCGGGGCTGCACGCAGGTACCGCGGGGCTGCACGCAGGTACCGGGAGGCTGCACGCAGGTACCGCGGGGCTGCACGCAGGTACCGCGGGGCTGCACGCAGGTACCGGGAGGCTGCACGCAGGTACCGCGGGGCTGCACGCAGGTACCGCGGGGCTGCACGCAGGTACCGCGGGGCTGCACGCAGGTACCGCGGGGCTGCACGCAGGTACCGGGAGGCTGCACGCAGGTACCGCGGGGCTGCACGCAGGTACCGCGGGGCTGCACGCAGGTACCGCGGGGCTGCACGCAGGTACCGCGGGGCTGCACGCAGGTACCGAGGGGCTGCACGCAGGTACCGAGGGGCTGCACGCAGGTACCGCGGGGCTGCACGCAGGTACCGAGGGGCTGCACGCAGGTACCGCGGGGCTGCTGCAGCCTGTCGACCTGCCCCTCACCTCAGGCCGGGCCGGGCGCTTCGCTGGGGTCTTGCTGCTGCATTTCCTTGGTGCCGCTGTTCACTCACCCGGTTCCCTCCTCCTCTTGTTTTCTGTCCACTCAGTTAGAAGATGAAGCTCTGAAACACATTCAGAATTACTGCCATGAGCTCATGAGCCTCAACTTACAGTCCTGCTCAGTAAGTACCGTGCCCTCCCTGTGCGCACCCGCCTGCCCCGTGTGTCCTCGGATCCCGCTGTGGGCCCCACGGACGCGCCCCAGGCAGGCGGACGGTCACTGCACCCCGACTTCTTGTCCTGTGGCCTTCATGATAAAACAGCAGCAATCTAAACAGAAAGGCCAGTAAAGAGCCACTGACTTGTCCCCCACAAATGTTATACATCGGGGTCTTGGGTTATTTTAAGACATTAGGAATGCTGTCGTTAACCTGAACAATTCATGGTAGGGTTTCAGTGAGGTTTTTTTTTTTTTTTTTTACTTATTAACTGTGGATGATGACACTTCTCACGTTGTCCGAGTCAATATGAAGGAATAACATCTGAAAATGCTTTAAAAGGCATCTGCAAGAGCAAGGTGTCACGTCATCAGAGCGTTAGCCTGTGGAAAGCCGTCGCTGCTGCTGCGTGGCGTTGCAAATACTGACAACTGCAGAGGCGCTTCTGCGGCTTCTGGGTTTTTCTCAAGACGAACACTGATTTGAGAAAATCAAGAGAAATACCTTGCATTCGGCATTTAGTGAATGAATCATGAGTTTTTAGAGTCCCTGAAATGGGGGACCAAGAAGAAATCATCTTCTGGACGTGTGTTGGCCTCATGGGCCTCCGTGGTTCCCAATCGGACCCTGAGCTCCATGTAGGCTGGCTCGGGCCACGCCTGGAAGTATAACAAATGCACGTCTATTCCCACGTAAATTTCTGTATTTAAATAAAGATATTATTTTGAATGTTCATTTATCAATAATTTAGTGATCTATTTAATTTTGCTATTTTCTAAACATTTGCAGAGATATTATAGACACAGAATTTATATGGTAGATAGCTAAAGCATTAATCTAGAGAAATTCAACCAAAAATTAATGTCACTTAGCCAAGTCACATGAGCTCTTTTTTTAATCTGATTTTTATTACAAGTTTATGAATTTTTCTTGAAAATCCAATGAATTTGGGAAGGGAAGTAGAATGTTAAAATACTGCTCTCACCAGTGGTGCTAGAATATTTTTTAAGCTGTGCAGAAATAGCATACATACACGTCTGCCGTGCACATCACTCTGTTGTGTGTACATTACTAGGATACAGCGCTGGTACCTGCAGCCTGAACCAGCGGACCAGTTGTAGATGCCACGTTTCTGCTGCTCCCGGCAGCTTCCTGTGCCTTCTGATCATCCTCCCGTTTTGTTCCCCCAGCGCATCACGGACGAAGGCGTAGTGCAGATCTGCAGGGGCTGCCGCCGGCTGCAGGCCCTCTGCCTTTCTGGCTGCAGCAACCTCACGGACGCCTCTCTGACAGCCCTGGCTTTGAACTGCCCGAGACTCCAGTGAGTGTGCACGCCTTTCGCTTTGCAGCTCAGAGGTGGTGGGCTGACCAGGAGGGCTTCCTGCAGGAGGGAGCAGCTTGCCAGCTGGTGGAGCAGGTGCTGGCGGAGGGGGCAGTGGTTGTGTTGTTGTCTGCTGGACTGGGGCGGGACAGTGTAGCACCCAGTTCATTTTGGGATGTAGGGGGATGCTAAACTGTCCTCCACCAGGGAATTGGAACCGGAATGTCTCGATGGACCGCACACATTCACCCACCTGCTTTGCCTCATCCTGTTACTACTTTGACATCGAGTGGTCCGTTTGTGAGCCTCACACCCACATGTCACCAGTTTCTCCTCTAAACCAGCTGCTAAATGGACGGGATGGCTGGGGGTCCCAGTCGCCTTATTTATCATCTCCTAGCCGGAAGAAAAGTTTTGTTTTGTGTTAAAAAGTAATGATTTAGCCCTGGCTGGTTTTGCTCAGTGGTTAGAGCATCGGCCTACAGACCAGAGTCCTGGGTTCGGTTCCCGCTAAGGGCATGTACCTCGGTTGCAGTTTGTCCCCAGCTCTGGTTGGGTCGTGTGGGTGGCAACCACTCAATGTGTCTCTCCTCTCTCACGTCAACGTTTCTCTCTTCCCCCTTCTCTCCCTCCCTCTCTATCTGAAGATAAATGCAAAAATGTCTTCAGGTGAGGATTAAAAAAATAATAATAATGATTTATTTTCTGATTCTCCACATAATACTGTGAATATTAAATCTTCGATAATGGCAACAAAACACTAATCATGGTTAACATCATTTGAACAACGGGCTCTCTGGTCTGGTAGGCACTTTTTTTAAATCTTCACCAGAGGATACTTTTCCATTTTTCTTCAGAGAGTGGGAGAGGGGGGGAGAGAGACTGAAACATCTATGTGAGAGGGACACATTGACTGGTTGCCTCCCACACGACCTGACCAGGGCCAGGGACAAACCACAACCGAGGTACGTGCCCTTGACTGGAATCAAACCTGCGATTCACGGTCCACGGGCCGACGCTCTAACCGCTGAGCCAAACCAGCCAGGGCTCTCTGGAAGGCACGTTTATGAACATTCTCCTTTCATCCTCACCACATCTTCAGAGGCAGGCACTGTGACCCTCACTTGTTTCGCAGAGGAGACACTGACTCAGAGAACGTCACGTCATCTGTCCTGGATCCCTCGACAAGTTAGAAGTAGACTGGAATTTGAACCTGCTGAGTTGGACTTCAGAACCGGAAATCTTAACCCCTCCCAATACAGAAAAAAGATACTTGTTTTGTTATTTTTATTTGCCAGTGAAACTGATCCATTTCTCATGCTTACATCAGTTACATATCTTTTAAGTGTTGTCTATTTTTGTCTTTTGCCCATTTTTCTTACCGTTGTATTAGGGAAGGTTCTAGATAATTTTGATATTTCCGCATAGTAGAAGGCATTTGTGCCATTAAAACGGATCAGAAAACAGTTCAAAATTATTTTTATAAGGGAACATTTAAGTTAAAAATGTTACTTATGCATCCATCCCCATTAAGCATGGGTATTGAGAATGAACTCTGTCTTTCATTGGCTGTAGATTTTTCAATTTTCCTATACGGTGACTGAGAATTTCAGTAAATGCAGTATTTATCATGATGATTTTGTTGAGTAAAGTTTATTTTAATTGTGTTTAAAAGTCAACAAACACTGGAAAAATATTTAAAAGCAGTAGCAGCAACAGTATACGGGTATTGTGGGAAGATGCCTGGATGGACCGTCCCGAGTTCGGGATGGGGCTTTGGGACGCAGGGTAGGTCACATCCTCCCTAAGCTCCATGCTCCTTGTCTGGGGGGGGGGGGGGGGCAGTATTTGCATTTGCAGCCTTAGGGCTGTCACAGAAGCAGGAGTGTGTGCCGCAGAGCGTGTGTGTCTATTGCTGACCAGTCGCTGCCTCTTCTCCTTACCCCAGGATCTTGGAGGCTGCCCGCTGCTCCCATTTGACTGACGCAGGCTTTACACTTTTAGCTCGGGTAAGGCAGAGGTTTAACAAAACCAAACCAACTCTGATTCACCTCCCTCGGTCACAGTGACTTGGAGTGTGCAAAAAACTACCCTCAGAAATGACAGGCACCACAGAATAGAGTCCTCGGTGTGTTTTGCACTTTTCCCAGTTGGTCAGAAAGCTAGGGCGGTCCTGTAGAGGGTTTTGTCGCGGGTCTAGCCGTCTGTCACGAGGCCCGGGAGGAGAGGCCGTTCCTCGGCAGACCTGGGCTCAGCCTCAGCAGCTCCCTCACTGCACGGAGCTCTGCCTCTGCCCCGGCCTCCACACCGCCCTGCCGGGGTGACCAGCACAGGGGCCCTCTGGCCTGTAGCCATGACCCTGTCTTCCTGGGGATGCCCATACACTCTTCCTCCTACCCCATCCCTCACCCGCCCACGGTAGGGCTCAGCGCCCCGCCCCATGCCCTCAGAGGACCTGTCCTGCAGCGGTGTCCGTGAAGGCCAGGCGCGAGCCTTCCTCGCTGTCATCCTGCAAAGCCAGGGTGAGGACATGCAGCAGGAGCCCTGTTCCCATCCCCAAGTGCATGTGATTCAAAGGGCACTTGCTTAGAAATGCTGGCCGACGGGGTCACTTCAGGAACAGGACACATTTCCTACCAGGAGAAAGGACACTGGGCCAGTCCTCAGAGGGACAGGGCAGGCCACACTGAGCGGTGACGGATGTCTGTGGACTCTTTCAGAATTGCCATGACCTGGAGAAGATGGATCTTGAAGAGTGCATCCTGGTGAGTGGACTCCCTGCAGGGCTGCCCCCAGTCCTCGAGCGAGGCTGTAACACACATGCCAGCTGGCCGCTGTTCGCACCCTCCTTGCCCCGGGTGGGCTCGGCGTGGGAACTCGTGAAGGCATGGCAGTGAAGATGGACTATTCTGTCATCAGCCAGCTACAGCTGAGTTCAGAATAGCTCCATCTTTTGCCAAGTGTTAAAAAAAAAAAAAGGACTCTTACTCTCACAGAACTTTAGAGAAGGAAGCTTGCCTGTGCAGTGCTGAAGTGACCGCACAGAATCCTGGGAGACCCTGCGTGCGCTCCCTTGTCCTGTCCCTGCCCCAGGGCTCCAGGGGAGCCAGAGAGCAGCCCTGCACCTCCGAGAGTGGGCAGAGCGGAGGTTGCTGATGACAGAGGCGCTCTCTGCCTTTGTGTGCTTGAGATTAGTTTTTAAATGTTTCTTATTGATTTCTTTGAGAGAGGGAGAGAAACGTCAATCGGCTGCCTCCTGCACGCTCCCCCACCCACCCACTGGGGACCGACCCACAACCTGGGCATGTGCCCTGATTGGGGACCGAACCGAGACCTCAGTCCATGGGACGGTGCTCAAGCCAGAGCCACACCAGCAGGGCGAGATGAGTGTTTAATTCTCTGTTGCACCTTGACTCTCATGTTCAGAAGCACAGGTAGGTATTAGCTCCGGTGTGGAGCCACCCTGACGCCCGTGTCTCTCCCCAGATAACCGACAGCACGCTCATCCAGCTCTCCATCCACTGCCCCCACCTGCAGGCCCTGGTGAGTCTGAGTGCACGTGCTCTAGTCCCTGAGGGGCCGAGGGGCCGAGGGTCCTCCCGCCACAGCGACAGTCCAGGTTTCCGCTCTGTAAGGCTGTCATCGTCTTGGTTTCAGAGATCTATTCGTTGGGCTAATGTGGGAGGCAGGTGATCTAAATGTTACTGCTTTCGTTTTGGGACATAAACCTAATTCAGGGACCCATGTCCTTATCACTTCACTCAAGTTCCTGTTCATCAAGTCAGTAGAGTGAGAATTAGCATGTTAAAATGATATGATCTTAGGTCGTCCTTGCGTTACATTTGCATTTCATATCTGCACATAGGTATAAATGTAATTCCTTCTCCATATACACATATGTGCAGAAAAGGAATCAGAATGAAAAGATCCAAAATGAGCAGGGACAAGGAGCACCCTTCACAGCCAGCTGTCTGACTGGGAGCCAGGAGCCGGGATGGAATCCTGCTCACCGAGCAGGCCCCCGGGCACCGTGCTACCTGCCCGGTCTCCTCCAGTCCCGTCCACAGCCCTGAGGGGCACGGGCACTGCGGACGTCCCCATTTTATCAGAGAAAAACCCGAGAATCAGCACAGCCAAGGACCTTGCCAGCGTTACCCGGCTACTCAGGGCCCGTTCTGACCTGCACGGGCCTGGTCTTCCCAGCACTGATACACAACCGATTTTTCTTAAACCAACTTCCTCTGTTGTCTTTGAAACTGGCTCTGTCCTCAGAGGATTGAATTTGTAACATCACTAAAGTTCCCTTTGGCCTTGAGTTCTTCTCACAGTCCCTCTAGCTTTGAGAAGCTCTGGGACTTGAAAGAGTTGGGGTCAGATTTCAGACATTAGTCAGGAATCTCCCTGTGTCCAGATTCTCTGTCCAAACTGTTTTCCATCAATTTATGGTTCTAATGATGTCTTTACTCCCCTATTGGTTCAGGCTCCATTTTTTGGCTGAAGATTCCACTGTGTGTGTGTGTGTGTGTGTGTGTGTGTGTGTGTGTCATTTTCTCTACCTATTTATCGGATAAGACACTTGGGTTGTTTCCACATTTTGCCTATTGTAAATGATGCTGGGTGAACATGGGGCTGCAGATACCTTTTTGAATTGGTGTTTTCATTTTCTTTGAATACTCAAAAGTGGAATTGCTGGATCATCCAATAATTCTACAGTGATACCTCGGTTCTCGAACATAATTCGTTCCAGGAGGACGGTCGAGAACCAAATTGTTCGAGAACCGAAGCAATGAAACCCAATAGGAAATAATGGAAACTGGATTAATTCGTTCCAAGCCCCAGAAAATGCCTATTTACTGGCCTAATTTGTATATGATATGTAGAAAAACATAAGTCTCAACAAGAAATAAAAGTGTACAGTATGTCTAAGGGTTAAATTCAGTGTAAAGCGTGACTCTCTCCACAAAGCGTGACTCTCTCTGCACTCACACTGACGACGCGAGCAAGGCGCGCTGGGCCGAATGAACGCCATTCGGCTCAACTCGGCTCATCTCGGAAGTTCGAGTTCCAAATATTTGTTCGGATTCCAAGACAAAAGTTTCTCGAATCTCCTGGTCGAATACCGATTTGGTTGAAATCCGAGGCGTTCGAGAACCGAGGTATCACTGTATTTTTAATGAACCTTCTGCTGTTTTCAGTAGTAATTGCACCAATTTACATTCCCACCAATGCACACGGGTTCCTTTTCTCCACATCCTCACAAACACTTTTTTTTATTTTATTTTATAAAAGCCACTGTAACAGGTGTGTCTGTATGCCAGTACTGTACTGCTTTGATTACTATAACTCTGCAATGTAGTTTGAAATCAGAGAACATGATGCCTCCAGCTTTGTACTTCTTAAGACTGCTTTGACTTATCAGGGTCTTTTGTGGTTCCATACAAATTTTAAGATGGTTTATTCCAATGCCATTGGAATTCTGATAGGGACTGTATCGAATCTGTAGCTCACTTTGGGTAGATGAACATTTTAACAGTAGGAATTTTCCAGCACGGGACTTGTGTCTCCAGTTTCTTTCATCCAGGCCTAATAGTTTTCGGTGTGTAGGACTTTCACATTCTGGTTAAATTTATTCTAGGCGTTTTATTCTGTTTCGTGTAGATGTAAATGGTATTGTTTTCTTATTTTCACTTTCTTATCATTTGTTATTAGTGTATAGAAACACAACAGATTTTTGTATTTTGATTTTGTATCCTGAAATTTTACTGAATTTGTTTGTTCTAACAGTTTTTTTGGTAGAGTCTTTAGGATCTTTTCTATATATTATGTCCTCTGTAAACAGTGACAGTTTAACCACTTCCATTCCAATTTAGATGCCTTTTACTTTTCTCTGGCCCAACTGGCTCCGGCATGAGCTGCATGTAAAGCCCCGCTCCCAGCCCCGGGAGCCACCGGCCCTCCGTAGTACAGCTGGGGGAGCGCAAAGCCAGCACCAGCCTTCCGAGGTCCCTAGAAGGTATCAGACAGCCCTCAGATGCGTGTTCAATTAGAAGCCTGCCCATCAGGCTGCGGCTGTGATAAGCCAACAGGCCTCTTTCCCAGAGACTGAGCTTCCTGCGTCTTGCGGTTCTTGCTGTGCCCTTGAGTGGCAGCAGTTTAAGAACGCTTTCTCTGCTGGCTCTAGTCCGGTGGGACCCACCAGTGTGAGGCCCACTGGCCACCAGAGCCAAGAGATACAGACGTTCCCTGGCGGAAGCCACAATAACCAGGGCAGCAGCCGTAAGCTCAGGCAGGACACCACACGTGCAACGAGATAATGGCGCTTGGCAGGAGTGCCAAGATGGTGCCCACCACCTAGAGAGAGACGGGGGGAGCAGAGATGTGGTGCCCACCAGGAAAAGAAAAAAGTTCCGAAGTTTAAGAAAAACGACAGCCCCCAGGTGAAGAGGCAGGAGTGCACAAAGGTGGCGCCCACGGGCCCCATCCCCAGAGAGAACGTTCTCCCAGAGGACCCCAAATAGGTGTCCAGTCAGGCGCCTACCCCTCGGGCTGGCGCTCCAAGACAGACAGACAGACAGACAGACAGACAGACAGACAAGCCTCTCCCAGTCTGTCCAGGGCCCCATAGCTGGCCGTTTCCATGCTGGGCCCTGGGAGGGCGAGTCCTTTAAAAAATGCTTCTTAGATGCTATAGTGTGGCCTTGAGCCTGTTGGTTTTCTAAGCCAGTTCCTTCGGAGGCCTCTCAGGTGTAGGTCTTAAAAGTCAGGGGGCGCAGTGTGGGGTTTTAACCTTTCAGTACCCAGGGAGAAGCTCGTTTGGTTCCTTCCGACTCTCTGGGGATGGTGTGTATGGTGAGACTGTCCCAGCCACTCCTACCTCCTTTGACGTGGGCTTTCGCTCACTCGCCCAATGTGTAGGAGCTGTTCAGCCCGTTTTTAGGTTATTTTTCAGAGGAAAAATGGGTGGTGAGCTCAGGATCCTCTTAATGTCACTGTCTTGAACCAGACCATCCCCTACAATTTTGATTTGCTTTTCTATTCGGTGAGAGGCACCACTGCCCAGCTGCTTAGCAAACCCACGGTCAGAGGGCCCTGGGGCTTCGTGCTCGATCCTGTCGTGCACGGCTGCGCTGGGGCACTGCGCAGGTGCGCGCCGCTGCGTTCCCGAGGCGACCCTCGGACGAGGGTCCTGCAGACAGCTGCTGTTCTCTGCCCGTTGCAGAGTCTGTCCCACTGCGAGCTTATCACAGACGATGGGATCTTGCACCTGAGCAACAGCACCTGCGGCCACGAGAGGCTGCGCGTACTGGAGCTGGACAACTGCCTGCTCATCACCGACGTGGCCCTGGAGCACCTGGAGAACTGCCGGGGCCTGGAGCGCCTGGAGCTGTACGACTGCCAGCAGGTCACCCGTGCGGGCATCAAGCGGATGCGGGTAGGTGGGGGGCAGGCGTCGGCGCCCTGGCAGTTTCTAAGCAACAAACGCATCAACATCCACGTTCCACGTCCATCCTAAACCTCTAGTAACGCAAACTGATGTTACACCAGCGTCTCCTCAGACTTCTTCGAAATTTCCTGACCCCAGCCTGGAAGGTTCAGCTTCCAGAATGGGTTCCTGTAGTCTGGGGATCAGCACCCCTGTAAGGGAAGGGGCTTGAGGTCACTGCCAGTCGGAGGTAGAATGTGGTCCTGGCTCATTTCCAGGTGAGCGTGCTTAATTGAACGCAGCTTTCCTTCCACACGTAGATCACCTGCGTTGTTTTCCTGAAAGTGCTTTCCGTTTCTACCTTTGCATCTACAGGCCAAATGTCCCAGGTGCTCCAGCTGTTGAGAACTCACTTCGCAGGCAGGGCCAGTGACTACCCAGGGGCAGAAACAGTCTTGGTTTTCCTGTCTTTGGAAGGTGCTGTTTGAGGGGATGTGTTATGTAGCACAAGTAGCTAGCTCTAGCCTACCCCAGACATCCTTTTGAACTACTGGCCTAATAGACAAGTGAAGCCGATTCGACATGGAGAACTACGAGCTTTTCTAGGGTTATGCCTATGGTCCCAGAAGTACCAGTGTCAGGATTATAACCCCCTCTTCTGTTTCCAGGCTCAGCTCCCTCATGTCAAAGTCCACGCCTACTTTGCACCCGTCACCCCACCGACAGCGGTGGGAGGAAGCGGACACCGGCTGTGCAGGTGTTGTGTCATTCTCTGACAGCGGCTGCCGGGCCAGCTCCAGAGAAGACCCGCGTCTTCCCGGTCCTCTCCACTGACACCGCCACCTGTCGATTCTCCACTGGGAAGGTATTTGCAGGTAAAGGACCTCGGTAGGGATTGCAGTAACTCTGGTGATAGTTTGGATCTTTAGTGCTGTGATGCAATCAAATCAAAGCCTCGTGTCAGTAAACACGTGGCAAGAGTGGTCTCAGTGCAGTCAGGCCCACGCCACAGACCCGATTCCCTAGAGGTGGGTGTGCCTTCCCAGGTGCAGAAGTTCTGTCCTCGGCTGTGACAGCGTTCCTCAGACCATCAGTGTTAGCACAAATTGAGCAGAAAAAACAAGCTGTTGATTTTCTACCTGATACTTAAGATAGTGGCTTACTTTAATTCACGATTCCACTTTGAAGATCAAATAGCAACTTTATCAAAGTGACTAGACTGCAAATTCATAATACCTGATAGTTTTGTACGTAGAGATGGATGTGGAAGGCACGTTGAGAAGTTTCCATGAGACACCAAAGAAATGAGGACTCTACACTGGGTGGAGCAGGGTCTTCACTTGTTTCTGTCAACTTGTCACATACTTTTGAGGACCAAAAACCAAACAAAGTCAACTCTGAGTTCATGTTGCCTGATTGGAAATTAAAACTCTGGTGTACGCTACAGCACACAATTTTATTATAGGAGAAAAGCTAATCATGTCCTATCTCACAAAATTTGGGGGACCTTAAAGCAATAGAATTAAGACTTAAGTTATCTATAATACAATCAATTAAAAATAATGAATGGATGCATGTAGAATGGGTGTGATTTTCTTTCCAAGTTTATTTTAAAATCTTAGAAATCAAGTTACACCAGAACTAGTCAAAAGTTTTACACATTTAAAACTCAGATCAATAAAGTGTTGGCACCTTTTAGACTCAAAATATAAAAACGAATAAACCATTGCAATGCTAAGTCAGAGGGCTTTATTGCTATAATCTATGGCAGGTAAATCTGAGCGAAACCACTTTCCAAATTCAAGACCTTCCTAGTGTTATCTAAGGTGACCTAGTTTCTGCCCACATTTGTCATCTTTAGTTAAGACCCATCACCACCTTCAAGGTGAACCTGTGTTCATGGGAGCCAACCCTTCGCAGCAACCACTCCCTGGCCCAGAGTCCAGAACTCACGAGAAGCTGAAGTGAAACAGTAAAAGCAAGGTGTTCTTTCCCTATGACCAGCAGACTTCTACGAGATGGACAGTGCTGGAAGCATGTAGGACACACTGCCTCAGCTGCGTTCTAGGAAGCAGAGGGCTATACACATGCAGCCCCGTACATCAGTGTAATGGGACTGTCAGAAAAGCACTCAAGTCCTGATGATTTTATTGCTTGGATATACTCTGGTCTAAAAGTTTGTGTGTATACCACAGCAGGTATTGAAATATACATTTGTACTACTGTGTGGGGTAGAAATGACTAATGCAGGACACTTTAAATAAACATAACACAGCCGTGCTTCAGTGATTATGAATTATAGTTTCTATTTTATGTAAATGACCAGGGCCTTTTATGCATTATCTCCTTTGAGCCAGGACACAACCTATCGCAGTACTGTACTCAGTGACCCAGGCCCTCATTTACAAAACAGGAGAACCTCTAATAAGAAAATCAGATTTGCTTCTGCTTCAGGTGTGCAAGTTACTGGAATAACATGTCCCCCAAGTTGCATCAGCTTTGAGAAAACAACAACATGGGCCTCACATCTTACATGACATTCGGACTGGTGTGCACTCAGAACGCACACGTGGGGCCTGTCCATGCTGACAGACACTGGCAGGACTGGTGTGCACTCAGAACGCACACGTGGGGCCTGTCCATGCTGACAGACACTGGCAGGACTGGTGTGCACTCAGAACGCACACGTGGGGCCTCTCCATTCTGACACTAGCAGGAACTGGGATTTTTAAATGAGACACACGTTTGCAAAACAATCGGAAAACATTTATTATACTGAAATGTATACATCCTACTATTAAAAAAACAAAGTAGCAAATATGCTGGTGCCATAACTGAACTGGTTTCACTGGGACGGACTACTGCTCAACACCACCTGGTGTAATTTCAAGTCTGATGAGCTTTTAATTATTTTTTACCCCACTTCTAAAATCTGATGAGGAATTCAAATAGCACACAGCATTAAACGACATGTATTGTTCCATAAATCTTGAGACTCAAAAAGTAATGCTAAATAGACAAGCAAAACTAAAACAATTCATAAAAACTCTTCTTTCCCAACCAACTGGTACAGAAAACATGTGGTCATACAAAAGCAAAGGGAAAATGACAGAAAGGGAAGGCTCTCCTGCTTTATGGTCTAAAAGAGTTAGATATTTTTAAACCAAAGATGGAAACAGACACAGTGCTTCTTTGTATCAGACAACCTCCTTTATGAGTAAAACAATCAACTTTTACCCACTGAGTAGTTTCTCTTCTAAGACAGATTTCAAATTCAAAATTACTCATTCTTATTTCTGACTGAACAAAGATAAAGATCAAAGAATACCTTCAAAACCAAGACACCTGGGTAAATGGACAGAGAAGCTGTAATTAAAATGGAATTGAAGTTTAAAAACAAATCGGGTGTGCTGCACACCACAGGCCTCAACAACTCCTGCTCGTGAATTTTGGGAAAGGCTTTGGGTGAAGGGAAGAGAGAAAAATAGTAGGAAAAATGGTGAAAATACTGGGTTCCCTTTGAAAAGTATACTGGCAGACAAACATTTGGTTTTGAGAGAGGCAATCTTTTTATAGAAAAAGAAACTATTATGTGGGTGTATTAAAAAAGCCTCTAAGTAATCACCAGAATGTTTACTCATGATTGTACTAAAGCTCAATACAAGGAATTTTCATGGTACAATTTAGTGTTTGACTTATGATGTCTAGTGTTCCAAGAATAATTTCAACTTGTTGATAACAAAGACTCCTTAACACCACGTCAGAAACCATACGTTTTCGCCTGCTTAGGTCACCTATTTCTGATAGGTCTGGGGTAGGGCTTTAAAACTGTTTAAGAAGGGGATGGTGTGGGGTGAGTTGGGAAAGGCAGTTGAAGACAGAGGGGTGGAGGAAAAAGAGAGAAAACCACATAAGTTTAAAAGGCGGTGGGGCTTCAAAAATGAAAATCAGAAACAAAATGCTAAAAATGGAAGCAGAAGCAAAAGGTTTTTCAATAAATCTGTGACAAAGCAAAAACACCAAAGTCTTGTACCTATTAGGGTTTACACTGATCCTCTCACCAAGGTACTCTGGGTAATGCAGCTTGCTTCCAGCCCGTCTTCCTGCTTGGCTCTTCCCGTCTGGCACGATCGCGTGAGACGTACACCCTTAGACATGATTTCTTCCGAGAAGGTGCCAAGCCTCTTACCTGACCACCAATCACTGTATCAGCACATCGCCTCTCTCTGCAGACAGACCCATGCTGGCTCCATGACAGCACTGTCCCCAGCCCCAGGTCAGCAGAAGGTTCAGGCAGTAAAGGCCGAACTGGCACAGAAAGGTAAATGCCCACAGTACGTTTTTACATTCATTTCCAAACCACATACAGTGTAAAAAGAACAGCAAAGGCTGCTTCTAGGAACTCGATCTCCTGGCCTCTGCCAGAGAGGCAGCAGCCCTGCGCGGCCCCAGCAGGCGTGCTGTCCTGATGCGCTCCCTCTGCGAGGATGCTTGGCGTGGCAGTGAGGAGATTCGCCTCTCGTACAGCTCATTAGAAAGGTCATCTGTGTTTTCAATATGAAACATTTCATACAGTAAAATCCAATCCCAAGACTTCTTGGATTCAGTCTTCACACACTTTTCAGCGTGACTTTATTTGGTACTGAATATAGTTCAGACTACATAAGACATCACTTCAAAATTATGTGGATACCACCACTATTTTCAACTGCAGAAAAAGGAAAGAAGACTTAGGAAAATCAAGCCTATTAAACTGAAAACTCCCAGAAATCTACAACCTCCTCCCCCAGGTCTGAGGTTACCTTTAAATAATCCCACAGAAAAGAAGCTGGTTAACTCCCTCCAGCTCCCCTTCCCTAAGGCTGCTTCATGTATCACAGGTATTTTAGTTATTTTGCTTTTTGGTGTCTGGCCCATACTCCTAGTGGCACCACGACACTTGACAGTTCTGGGAGTGCAGTGAGGGGGAGGGGCACCAAGAAAAGCAGCAAAGTGCTGTGGACAAGGCTGGCTGGAGGCAGAGCAGATGAAAACACTGCCGAGCATCCCAGTCAGCTCTACACAACACACACACACAGCGCTTACATCCACCTGGTCTGGAAATAATTTCTGAACTCCACAGAGGTAGATCTGGAACATTAAAAAATATACCACTACCGCCCGGCTGGTGTGGCTCAGTGGTTAAGCATCGACCCATGCACCAAGAGGTCGCTGGTTCAATTCCCGGTCAGGGCACATGCCCAGGTTGTGGGCCTGAGCCCCAGTGGGGGGCACGCAGGAGGCGGCCAATCGATATTCTCTCTCATCGATGTTTCTCTCTCTCTAATATCAATAAAGAAAATTTTTTAAAAAAAATATCACTACTTTTGCCTGATGCACTAGTGTTTCTCAGGAAATGAGGAGAAGCAATACAGGCGTCATCAAGGAACAAATGATATTTTTCAGGAGGACAAAAGTCTGAAAAACAATGGACTGAGTTTGGAAGGGACATCCTGTGACGTCTGCAATCAGCAATGTCCACTCCTTTCACAGAACACAATCATACAATTAATTCAGTATGAATTTCCTTTTTTAAATAATGTTTTAGAGAATAAAAACGACTGCTTTGAGAACAACACACTGAGCAGCAGGATAGCAAGCTGAAAAAGTTCGTAAAGTAAAAGATGAGAGAACCAGCGCACAGCTAAAACGCGGCATCGAGGGTCACTTGATGGCCTACGCAACATGCCAAGCAAAAAGTGAAATCATAATTTCAGCACTGTTTTGGGCAACTCCCTTCAAGAGTGACTTTCAAGAAAGTGTGATGGCACATGACATTGCTCTTCAAGGTGCAACTTGTGTGTTAAGACTAGACTTAAATTTTATTTTTTATCCTCACCTGAGGACATTTTTTGCATTTATCTTCAGATGGGGGGGGGGGGCATTGATGTGAGAGAGACACACTGATTGCCACCCACACGACCCCAACCAGGGCCGGGGACAAACTGCAACTGAGATACGTGCCCTTAGCGGCAACCGAACCCAGAACCCAGGTCTCTCTGGTCCGTGGGTCGACACTCTAACCGCTGAGCCAAACCGGCCAGGGCAAGACTAGACTTAGATTTTTAACCCGTCAGGCTTTTAAAACCCTTTTCTCATATACTTTTGCATTTAAAAATCCCTTCTTACAGAGAATGACTATAAAAGTAGTGAACAAAATGGCAATAAATGCACACGTATCAATAATTACTTTAAATGTAACTAGATAAATGCACCAATAAAAAGACAGGATGGCTGAATGGATTAAAAAACATGACCCATCTATATGCTACTTACAAGAGACTCATTTCAAATCAAAAGACAAAGACTGAAAGTGAAGGGATGGAAAGAGATATTCCACACAAACAAAAATGAAAAGAAAGCTAAAATAGCAATCCTCACATCTGTCAAAATAGGCTTTAAAACAAAAAGTGCAGACCCTGGCCTGCTAGCTCAGATGATTAGAGCATCGTCCCAAAAGGCCAAGGTGGTGGGTTTGATCCCTGGTCAGGGCGCATACAAGCAGCAGCCAATGAATGCATAAGTAAGCGGAACAACAAATCGATGTTTCTCTTTCTCTCAAATCAATAAACTTTTAAAAATGTAAAAAGAGACAAAGGACATTACATAATTTTAAATGAGTCAACCTAAGGGGATATAACAATAGTAAATATCTACACACCCAACATATATAAAGAAATTATTAATGGACATAAAGGGAGACGGCCACAGTAATACAGTAACAGTAGGGGATTTTACTATCCCACTCACATCAATGGATAGATCATCCAGTCAGAAAATTAAGGAAATAATGGTCTTCAATGTCACATTAGATGACATTGATTTAATAAACATTTATAGAACATTTCATTCCAAAACTGCAGAATACACATTTTTTTGAAGTGCACATGGAACATTCTCCAGGTTAGATCCATGTTAGGCCACAAAACAAGCCTCAATAAAATCGAGAAGACTGAAGTCATACCAAGCATCATTCCAACCACAATGCCATATAACTAGAAATCAAGTACAGAAAGAAAAAAAACACAAAAGCACACAAATGTGGAGGCTAAACAACATTCTACTATGCAACCAGTTGATCAAAGAAAAAAACGAAGTCAAAGACTATCTTGAAACAACAACGAAAAAAACCAAAAACACAACTTCTTGAAATTTATGGGATGCAGAAAAAGCAGTTCTAAGAGGGAAGTTCATAGTTATACAGGCCTACCTCAAGAAAAATCTCAAACAATCTAACTTTATTTACACTTAAAGGAACTAGAAGAACAACAAACAAAACCCAAAGTAAAAGCCCTTCCCCTTTACAGAACCCTCTAATTTGGAATTCACTTGAGCCACATCCGGGCCCTCTTTCAAGTTCACTCCCTAAAGGACCTCAGTGAGTTCTACAGCTTTGAGTTACCACCGATACGCTGAATTTACATCTCAAGCCCAGGCCTCTCCAGACAGACACCAACTTGACACGTCTACATCTCTGAAACGGAACTCCTGACTGCTTTCCCAGCCACACCTGCCTCTACTGGGAGCACCATCTGCTCAGTCCCTCTTCCAAGAGTCACGGCCACCCCTCCCTCGAATGTGGAGGCCAGCAGAACCCTGTCTACACATGTTTTTCTAATTCCTCACCTGTCTCCACAGGGTTGCAAGAGGGAAAGAAAAATCTGACCATTACCCCTTTGTTTACACAACCTCCCTGACTCCCCGGTGCATCTCAAATAGAATCTAAAGTGCCACCAGCAGGTCTTGCGTTCCAGCCCCTGCCTCTCACCGTCGCCATCCTGCTCTGCTCCCCCTCACACACTGCGTGCTGGCTCCGTGGCCTTTCACACCTCTGCAGCCCAGGTCTCTCCTCCGCACGCTGCTTTGGGATGCAGCTCAGTCAGCTCCTTCTCGTTCTTCAATCTCAGCGTTAATGACACCACCTCAGCGAGGCCTTGCCCAACAGCGTCGTGTCCCCCGACCCAGATTCCCCTTATCCATAAACACCCCACACTCGCCCATTCCTCCATGGCACTGAAAGTATGTGTGATTATATGCACCTGCTGGCCAGCTCGGGTTTCCTCCCCACTAGAGCGAGAGCTCCATGGACCACTGTGTTCAAGACTCTTCTAGCACCACAAGAGGTGTCTGACAAAGGTGCTCAGTAAAACGCTGGCTGAATGAACCGAGATTCCTCCCCAGTCATCTAGGACTGACTTCTCTTCCTTGTGGGCTAGTTCATTTCTACTACAAAGCACTAGAAATAGTCCTGGATTCATTTTTCAAACTCTTCTTAAAATTAGTGAAGCCAGCATTTCAAAAGCAAACACACAAGATGAGAGCTGTTTACAGGCACCCACTATTTTTCATGCCTCCAGCGTTTCAAGACACACACACACACACACACACACACACACACACACTCAAAGTACCTTTTACTGTGGAGAATAAAAAACAACTTTCATCTTGAAAGTTCTGAACCATCTAGAAGGAGAAAGCAGATGCAGTTAAGATTCAATTGTCCTTTTGTAACATTAAAAAATATTAAAATGAGTACAGGAAAATGTCATAATCTATACACTGCTGCACAAGTACAGGTACAGGACTTGACGGCCAAAACGGTCACTGTGAATGCAGTGTGAGCAGTAAAACTTACTCCTGCTGCACTGGCAGCGGAGCCTGCTCGTGATGGTCCCTGAGGATCTGGTCAGCCAGCCAGCCAGCTGATCCATGGGGAGCATCCCTGCTGGGTGCTGGGAATAACTGTGACCGAAAGTCACTGCATGAGTGCTCTTCCATTATTACTTGCTTGTCACTGAACACTGGAGGAAAAAACTGTACTTCTAACCCTTGCTGTTTTTAAACTGATAAGAACAGATACTACACTTGATCTTAGCCAAAAGGCCGAGAAGCGATCCCCTTGCTGTTTTTAAAATTAGCCATCAAATAGTGGACACATCCAAAGGGCTCTCTCCCTAAAAAGGGCCAAAGCCCTGCTAACCTACAGTTCCCCCAGTGAGTGTCTGAGTTAAAAGGGGATGGGGAGGGAGCCACAGTTCCCCTTGATTTGTATTCCTTACATCACTAGGATACCTGAAACCCTTGGTTATAAATTCTTACAAATTTTGATCCCCCAACTCTTTGAAAATGATTTTCATGTATACTTGTAAAAGAGGTCACAGGATTTTTCTGTAGTTCTTTAGTGATACACCAGTGTGAATGGGAAAAGCAAATGGGATGTCAGTTCAAGTTACCTGATCACTAACAAGAATGTGAATACCAGTGGGACCCTGTCTGTAAACCTGGTTAATTTGGTGGAAAGGAATATTAAACACCAACGCAAGTTTTCGAGCAACTTCTGAGGCAACCATTTCTTCCAAGTAGATTGCATGATAAACTGAAATAAAAAAAACATAACAGCATTTTAGTAATCTTTGATCTGTTTTCCACCTAGATCTATAGGAAAATCACATCTTTCAAAGTACTAAAAATATAAACATTAACAGTCATTTTAATGCACAAAAGGATCTGTGGTTTTAATTTTTCTTGAAAACAAACAGGAGTTGACTGCAAATGGGCCCGGGGGATCTTTCTGGAGTGATGAAACAAAACTGGATTGTGGTAATGGCTGCAAACTGTGCATCTACTAAAATACCAGTGAATTACAATGGGAGGATTTTTATGGTATATAAATTATACCTGAATGGAAGCTCTTTCCAAAAATATGTTTCTAGCAATATAGTTAAAAAAACAAACCAAAAACCCTAAGAAGGTCATGATTTTTCATTTGGTAAGCCCTAAAGGAATAAAAGCTATCTCCCTCCCCAGCCCCAAAGTAAAAACAGTATAAAAGGTAGCCCACGAAAAGCGAGGATGTGGACCGTGGAGCCCGCTGCTGCTTTAGTCCCAGTGCAGCCCACCGTGCGTTTCTGGAACACAGAACCGAGCAGCAGCCGCTGTCAGCCCAGCGCCAAGCACATCCGTGGCGCTGGCTCAGTCCCCAGTGCGCAAAGCCAGACACGCTCAGGAATATCAGTGCTCGAACTCTGCTTTCCCAAACGAGGAAAACCCTGTCAATCATACACTAGGAAAAGCGCAGAATTGGAACTATAACTAGGGTAAGACTACAGAGATGACGTAGAACAGGGTCACCAAACAGCCTATGTGGGCCAAACCTGTCCTCCACTTGTTCTCTCAAAAATGAAATGTTATCAGAACAGTCACACCTGTCTTCTACATGCTGTCGTGGGTGTGACATTACAGGGGCAGAGCTGGGTGAGAAAGATACCCTGTGGTCTGCAAAGTCAAGATTTTTACTACCTACCTGGCCTTTAACAAAAATTTTGCTGACCGTGATCTAGGGTTAAGTTTGCCAGTATTTCCACACACACCCCAAACACTCATGTTTGAGGATACACCTTCCAAAATGTTACAATCCTGATCACGTGTCAATGGTTCAGAGGTCTTGATGGCACAAGCAGCGCTCCTGTAGAATCTAGCCTTGAAGACCAAGGCTTTGTATCTTCAGTCTTAAAATTCACAGCTTTTGAAGTCAAAATGACACCAAATGGGAAAGCTCCCAACAGAGATGCTTTCCTTGGGATTTTAAAAGTAAAAGTCAAACCACAAAGTATTTTCCAGAGCTCTATCCAATAATAGGACAAATAACTGCCTCTTTGAATTCCATAATACATTTTTCCCTGAAGTTCTGAAGAGTGTCACCCTTATTTTGTTTCAAGGCGGGAAGAGATTATCACATACCCACTTTACAACTGAAAACACACATATTTTAAAGCACTGAGAACACATATCCCCCCTGCCCCCTCCAAGGACCATATTTAGAGGAGGGGAGAGGGGCCAGGATTTTTATTTCTGCCCTAATCCATACTCTATTACACAATTAAGGAAACCTATAGGATGGTGAGGCCCTCCCAGTACTCAGATGATAACGACCTAGAGTATAATCACAGTGACAAAGGACACAGCACCAGACTCCCCGCAGAGCTCACGGTGCCGGCCAGATGCTTGTCTGAGACAAGTCCACACACTCAGCACTGACACATGGCGGCATCTTTACACTCGCGAGTTTTCTACCCCCATCAGTAAAATGGATAAAAAGAAAAACCCTCCTCCATTCTGGCTAAGATGTCAATGTTATAGTCATCATTCCATTTGAGATTTTGTTTTTAAAAGGCAGCAAACCCCAAAGCGTTCAAGCTAGTCTTCCACTTGTTAGACGTTCGGGCATAAAGGGCACATGGAAGGGACCTGTCACGTGGCCGGAATAACAGGCAGGCTGCTGGCTCCCCCCTCCAGAGGGCTTGGCCCTGGGGCTCACTGCTGCCGGGACTCTCACAGCAGCCCCTCCGTGCGGATGGGACAGGAGTCCTTCAAAGCCCGACTCAGGTCCTGGCCATCTGTACCTCAGTGTCAGAAAGGGGGCAACGGGAAGCTGAGATGCCCTCCATACCCACCGTAGGGTGTCCCACTGCCATTCTCGGCTCCGCTGCCTGCAGCCTGCTGCTGCCCTTGCAGCAGTGAGCTGCCCGGCTGCTCCTGGCAGACATAGATGGTTAAGCGGGGCCTAACCGACCTGCAATCACAAGATGCCACTCATGAGCCGAGGAGAGAAGGCTGCCTCACTACACGTACAGATGCCAACTACAGGAATCTAAGTTCTATTTCCTTATGCGAACTTTACAAGGTTATTTCATTATACAAAATAATTTACTAATAAAAATATAAAAACACACACCTCACACCAACTATCACAGGTGGTCTAATCTGATGATCCAGACTCTAAACCACTGAGATGGTCTGTCAGATGCTGGTAAATTTAAGTTCCAAGATTAAGTCAGCAATTTAAAATCAGTAAGATTCAATTTTAACGGAATTCTCACACAAGTCTAGAAATAGCAATGATAGTACATGAATCTTAAAAGCCAGCAGTTTACGATTGTTTCATTTTAATTCACAATTAGAAGTTTACATTTTTAATAACTGTTTAGTAGTAGTCATATGACCTTGAAAACCATAGATTCTGTATAGCTCACCTAAATGAGAAGTTTGTTTTCTTGGCAACAAACCCAGTCGTCTTCAAGAAATCAGTACTGCCCATGTGCATTGCTACCAGTCTTACAGTCTACCTCTGCCCTCATCAGTGCCTGCATCATATCTGGGCCTGCCCTGAAGGTGTACACAAAACAGTCTTCTCGTGAGCGCAACGCTGCCGATGCGGGCAGCGCACACAGGCCCACGCCGACCCCGCGTGGAAACACATTCTGCCCCGATTCCCCGCACAAAAAAGGGACATTCTCATTTCAAGCAAGACAGTTCCTTTAAACACAGTATTTTACCTTGACTTCAGTGAATTATAGAGCCGAATTCCATCGGCTGCACCACAAATTTGTACCAAATCTTCCTTTGTCAGTTTTAATAAGTCGGCACCTGGAGAACAGCATAAAGAGATTCTTCTCAAAGAAATGGAAAAGAACTGGCAGGACTAGCTGCTTTATGACATCTGTCTTCACAAAGGTAAATGTCATTCAAAACCATCACAGGTCTTCTGGGTATACACACGTACACGAACCACACACGCACCCCTGGTTTCGCTGAGCCAGAGAAAGTGCTGGCGCGTCCATGTCCTGTATGAAGAAGGAGCGCAGGAGCCCAGAGGCCGGTAAATCCGATCAATGCGCAGGGCCGACAGAGTGTGTGCTCCAATACAGGAATGCACCGCCTGCATTACTCTGGCTGTGTTGTGGTTGTGTGGATAAACACGATTCTGACCTCAGATCATTTACCTTGCGATCACCAGAACCAATCTTTTATTTTCCAAATAGAGGAAATGGAAGTCCGGAGTTTTGGGGACTTGCCTAAAGTCATATGGTTGGCAGGACACCGAGGTATAGGCCTCGGCACCACGCCAAGTTGAGCGTTCTAAGCGACTGCCACAGCAGCCGGTCTGCATACACAAGCATGGCAGACACTGCGCGTTATGCCTTAATCCCCACAAATACTTGGGCAGTGTAAATGACATGTCTAGATTTGCTGTAAACTACAACAGAAAAGTGGAGAGGGAGTGGCCGAGAACAAGACTGACCAAAGGCCGGTCATTTCTGAAGCTGGAGGTGGTTACACAGGAGTCCATTATACTCTTCTATCTACTTTTTATGTGTGGAATGTGTCCATAATCTTTGTTTTATCCTTTTATTAACTCTCAAGATGTAGTTTATTGGGAGAATTAAGATGCCCTCTGGGATTAAGGCATGACTTCCATATGACAAATATCCACTCACCTATGTAACAAAATAATGGGGTTATCTTTCTATTTTTGAGGGCTTGAATGTGAGCCCAATAACTTCATAGTTTGTAAAAGAAATAAAGACCAGAGAAGCACATTTCCTATGAGGCATAAGCATCAATGGAGTCACTTACAGAAAGACAAGCTTTCCCTCCTCTCTACTGGGCCATCTGCACGCCTCTGAAAACAGGGCTCCCGGCTGTGAGCAGAGATGGAGGTATACACATCCTTCACCCCTCCACAGGACTGCAGAGAGATTCTCATGTGCACAACCCTTTCCAAAAGGTGAATGCCCAAGTAGCTCAGAGCATGAACTCAATCTCTGCCTCACCATTCAATTGCTGGGATGCTCCTAGGGTAAAGGCAGGAGGCCAAGCCATGTGATCACTGGTCACAGTGGAAAGAGCTTTGAACTCTCTAGATAGAAATATGTATCTGTCTAATATAACAGGTGTAACCTAGGACCTCCCTCAATTCCAATGGTCAGAGCTTTTTGTATTGGTTTTACTCTTCACCCATCTTTATAAGGGTTCAAGATGCGTTTCCCTCTCTCAAACACTGAAATTTTAAAATTTCCAGTTTTTCACAGATAAGAGGCTTTGCTTAATTATACAGAAATGTGGCTGGTAGCAGATGACTTTTAACCAATATTTTAACTTGAGGGAGACAAAGAGCTACCTGCGAATGACACATCATCATACAAGCATTGCAGGAAATGGCCAACACAGAAGGAAACCACGTTCTTTGTGAAATCAAGCTTCCCTCTAGACTATGTGCACACCTATGTTCTGTCCTCTTAAAGGGTTCAAGCTGCATTTTTATAACCCCACAGCACTGTGGGCAAAGGAAAGCTGAAGGTCACTTTGCTGTGGCCCAGTGTTTCTCAGGACATGATTGGCCAGGACATGTTAGTGTTTTGTAACAAAAGGGTCTCAGGGCCAAATATGTTTGGCAAAGATCTCCCACCTGGTGTATCCATTACTGTCCCTCTAAATAGTTTTCCTATTGCACCACCTGAAGAAGCACTGCTTGGTCCCTTTTAAAATTCCATTGAATATTCTCTTAGCTTCCTATGCAGGATTACACATAAGTATTATAAAAGCATACCTGAGTACATTCACGCCATGCAACACCACACAGCAATGAGGAGGAGCAAACTACTGATACAGCAACTTAGAATCAAGGGCATTAAGCTGAGTGAAAAGAAAGCCAACCTCAAAGGTCACAAACTGTATGATTCCATTTATATAACATTCTTGAAATGACAAAATCACAGAGACAGAGAACAAATGAATGGTTGCCGGGGATTGAGGATTGGGGATTGGGGATTGGTGGTGGTGATGGTGGGTAAGACTGCGTAAGGGAAATCCTCGTGGTGGTTTTACAAATCTACGTATGTGATAAATGACATAGAACTATATCCACACAGTGCACCAATGTCAATTTCATGGTTCTGATATTGTGCTGTAATTATGTAAGTGAAGGGGTACCCTGGAACATCTCTGTACTATATCTTTGCAACTTACTGTAAAGAAAAATGATTTCAAAATAAAGTTAATAACAAAAAATGCTTAGAACTGTATGTATGCGCCTACACAAATGAAACACAGAACTAGTGAAGAGGCAAGTTGTAGAGATGTTAGTTTACTGATTATCTGATAGTGTACAACATGTGTGCAAGGTGTTACCACTGGGTTCGGAAACTGAGTGATAGACACACAGGACTTCCCAGGACATGTTTGAACAATTTCTTATGAATCTATAATTACTTCAAAATTTTTTAAAAGGTTAATGAAAAGTAGAGACAAATTAGTAAACAAAATATACATGTGCAGGTGCGTGTAGGTATAAATACACACACACACATACCTGAAAAATTGGAAAACAGTCTTGTGTAGGAAGAAAATCTGTTTTTGAGCAGCCACTGCTGTGTTTCCTGGGTGGTGGCTGAAGGCTGAAGTTGCTATTAATAAAGAAAAGAAACATAAACAGAAGAAACTATTCAAACTTACAAAAAGTAACCCAGGTCACTAGCATGTTATAAAGAACAACATTGAAACAAAACACAGAAATCCTCCAAGTCTGAAGTAAAAAAAAAAAACCACCACCACCACCCAAGAAGAGCATAGGTCTGACTCAGTGACTCACAATAACTCAGGCCCCTGGCAGAGCCTTAAAAATGCAAGACCTGCCCTGGCCGGTTTGGCTCAGCAGTTAGAGCGTTGGTCTGTGGACCAGGGAGTCCCGGGTTCAATTTCGGCCAAGGGCACGTACCTTGGTTGTGGTTCGTCCACGGCCCCGGTTGGGGTCGTGCGGATGGCAACCAGTCTGTGTGTCTCTCTCACATAGATGGTTTCTCTCACCCTCCCACCCACCCCCAACCCCTGTCTGAATAGAAATGTAAAAAAAAAGTGTCCTCGGGTAAGGATAAAAAAAAAAAAAATGCAGGACCCTGAAAGCATCAGATAGTTTAGGGACAAGAAGACACTTACTTCACTAGAGGTCTGTGAAACTCCATCTCCCTGATGATTTGGGGAAGAAGAATTGCTGGGGAAAGGAGAAGGAAGGAAAAGATGGTTATTTATATGTATATATAAAATCAAGACATTAAAAGCTATTAAACTAGACAAGTTTTTAAAAATACTGTGTGACAAAGCAATATAAATTTGCAATAAGAACATTGGCACAACTGGTCAGGGGTGAATGATGATGATGAGATTAAGACAGAAGACTTTCCTAATTTGTGCCTCCTCTTTCTGCAACTATTCTAGTAAGAGATTCAAGTTTTATGAAACAAAAAGGCTCCAATTATCTCCAGTGTAACAGGAAAATGAAGAATACTCATTCATTGTAGTTGGGGGTGGGGGGAAATGTGAGAAATCAAGAAAGATAAACAATTGAAAATAGCTGCAAAAAAATCTACTTTAAGAAAACAATGAGCGACTGGCTGGTGTGGCTCAGTGGACTGAGCATCGTCCCATGGACTGAGAGGTCCTGGTTCAATTCCCAGTCAGAACACATGCCCGGGTTGTGGGCTTGATCCCCAGGGGGGGGTACACAAGAGGCAGCCAAACAATGTTTCTACATCTCTAAAAAGAAAAAAAAGAAAAAATCAATAAAAACATTTAAAAAAAATACTGTTTATAAAACAGAAAACAATGAGCTGTAAGAAGTGGTATGATAATCCAAAGTCAACAAGGAAAATGATGTATCCCTTTAATGAATATATTTATCCATGACCAAAGGGGTGAACAGAACAAAAGAAACAAACTGTACCACTATCCTTTTGTTTCTAAGGTGAAATGGAAATAAAAGACAATTCCACAGGGGATGTGGCCACCTCCCTGTTCCTGGCTCTGACTCCCTTCTTAGGTTTATTCTGTTGATTGTTCACCATCCTCCTTTACCCACTAGAACTTAAGCTCCTCAGACAGAGATCAGTCACTTAAAAGTCACAGCACCTGGAACAGTGTTGGGCACACAGTGGGCTCTCAGGAAATATCCAGTCAACTGGTGAGTACAGGAATTCACAGCTTACCTCTAAGATCATAATCGTTCTCTAAGATTATTCAGGCTGGACTTGACCGAAACCAGAAGGGCCCCCTACATGGCAACATGCTGGTCTCCTGGTCTCTTCCCTGTCTCTGAGGCCGAGCATGTTTTTCTACTCTTAAAGCACAGTAATGTGAAAACAAGCTGCCTCATCAGCCTTTCCATCTGAGGGAAAAAGCATGTTTGTGTTCCCTCAAAATCGGATGTTGAAACCTTACCCACAGCGTGACAGATAGCACTGGGAGGTGAGGCCTAAACTTCCTAACAACAGGGAAGTTCTGATCTCATCTAATTGGCACTAGTCCTTCAGCCAAGCCTGGGACTGCAAGGCCCCTTGGCCACCACTGCAGCACCTTCGGGACGCCCCGGAAACAGCTCCTGTTCCCACCCGGAGCTCACTAGACTCTGAGTTGTGTCAAGGCCAAGTAATAGAATAAACATAGTCCACCATTCTCATTTATAAAACCATTTAAATAAACAAAACAAAACTAGTGTATCTATTAGGAGGGGAAGGAATGGAGCAGAAAAATAACCCTTGTTTGATATGGTGAGAATTAAAGACAAATACATTTTATAATGACTGCATCTTAACATATTCTACTCATAGTTTCACCTTAAAATCTCATTGTTCTTTCTCTGTTCATGAACCCCATTAATGTTCTTTTTATCTCACAAAGAATATACCTTGAAAATGCCCCCCTTTCTACAACGGCCACCATTTGTGAGTGTGCGGCACAAGGGACATGGAGGACAAAAGCTGTCAGGAAAAGAAAAGATTTCCTCTGAAATCCAGCAGGCTAGTTCCCACAACTACACAGTGCAGATGAACACGGGGAGGTTCTGTACACGGACACAAAGGGAAACAAAGGAGCACGAGCCTCAGACGCACAACGACACAAAGCAGATACCTGTCCGGGACACTGCAGGTGCTCTGCGGGGGGGAGGTGAAAGTGGGCGCTGTAGAGGGGCTGTTATTCACATAGGTTGTGGGGGTATCGGGCCACGGAGAACACTAAGAATAGAAACAAAAATAAATTAATAATATGCTTGTAAAGAATGTGGAAGAACTACTTTGTATTTCACAATCTAGTCTGGCCAAATGAGATTATAAAACACAAGACACCTGACACTCATCAAGCAACGTCATGGAAACATATCAAGTTTCCTCCTATATGGCAAGGACAAATTTTACCTGCTATGCGTCTAGACACTGATTAATTTTAGAGAAGACCAGAAGTGATGATAGCAGCAAAACATCATGAAGGCATTTTAAATGTATACTTATATACAATTTGTTTTCAAGAACTTTTCACCTCCCTCTTTATCAATTCTCCAAAAGGTGCCTATCAAGGTTTAAGAATAGCAGAGGCAAGAAAGGATTCACAAGTGAATCTGACATCACATGGCGACCGAGACAGTGGCTGTCCTGCCTAGTACTCATTTTGCCCTCAGCAGCACCCATTTGCTTCCTTGATTTCTCTAAGATCAATAATCCCCAAGTAAGCTGAGACCAGTCCAGTACCAAAATACACCTGTCTATGGTACTGCCTATACCTACCTATCCACATATGTTTGATTATTTATATTTTCTGGATGGGGCATGGTGAACTAAAATATTTTCAATCCTACATATAATTCTGACCAAAGATAAAGCAAAGCTACAAAGACACATTGACGTCGAAAGCATGCTGAGCAGGCCAGCGTGGTGTCAAGTCGAAGTCTTCACACCTGAGGTATGGAGGGAATCAAATCCCTGCACTCCCTGTACTAATGCCCCTGGTTTCAAAGGTCTACATTCATAATCACTCTTCTCCTATTTATCAGAAAAAGGCTTCGGATCTCACCATGCCTGCCCATGGGGTATAAGGCCCTTCCCAAAACAAAGCAAAGAAAAACAACTCAAAGAGACAGGGTAGATACTAAGAAAGTACATGACTCTAAAAATGGGGAGGTGGTGAAGGGTATAGGGGAGAATATAGGGGGGAATAAATGGTGATGGACGGAGACTTGACTTGGGGTGATGAACACACAATACAGTGTACAGATGATGTATTGTGGAATTGTGCACCTAAAACCTGTATAATTTTATCAACTATTGTCACCCCAAACTCAATACAAAGAAAAAAAAGGAATTAGTCTGTGGGTTAATAAATATTACTTCTTTTGCCCCTCAAAAACAAACAAAAATTTTTAAAAAGATTCTTCTGTGTCCGGTGGTTTCCAAGTCTTTGCTTTCAAAAAAGTTCTGGAGGATCTACGGTCAGATGACACAGTATTAAAATAATCTACTAAGATCATACAAAATCGATCACTGGGATATTTGGCAGATAACTCAAAAGAAATCCAAGACCTGAAAGACACTGCCAAAAGATAGATAAAGAGCTTAATAAAATTTCTCTTATCTATAAAAAAATCCAGATTTAGTTATGTTCTACACTGTCTCATTCAGGATGTATTTCCAATAACATTTCTACTTTTAATTGATTTTTTAAAAAGAGAGGAAGGGAGAGGGAGAAAGAGAGAAACATTGACAAGCGAGAACATAGACTGGCCACCTTCTGCATGCCCCCCAATGGGGATCAGGCCCACAACCTGGGCATGTGTCCTGACGAGGAATCGAACTGGCGACCTATTGGTGCATGGGTCAACACTCAACCAGTGAGCCACATGGGCCAGGCGCAACATTTCTATTTTTATATCTAAAAATTATTCATAAAAAATTTTATGGCCCTGGACAGTTCTGTTCAGTGGATAGAGCGTCATCCCGTGCTCCAAAGGGTCATGGGATTGATTCTAGGTCAGGGCACATACCCAGGTTGTGAGTTTGACCCCTGGGTGGGGTGTGTATGGAAGGAAACCGATTGATATTTCTCTTTCTCCCCCTCACCTCTCTAGAATCAATGAAAAAAAACATATTCTCGGGTGAGGATTAAAAAATAATAATTTGTATGACTTTTTGTTTTGATAAACTGGTACCGATAATAATAATAAAGTTTAAATTTTTTAACCAACTAAAGAACCTATGATTACAGGAAAATTTAAAAATTTAATTTCAATGTATATATTTGTCATAGAGAAGTAATCAGGGCAATAAGTAAGAGATTTTCAGGCATCACAGTATGTCATCTTAGGGTAAGGGGAATGGAAGAGAAAACATGAGATCAAGAAGAAAGAGCAAAGTTTAAGACTTAACTAAAGAGCTTGATCATGAACCTTTATTTGATTTTATTTTTGGAAAGAGAGGAAGGGGGAGAGAGAGAGAAACATTGATGTGAGACACCTGTCAGAATGGCCACCATCAACAAATCCTCAAACAAGTGCTGGCGAGGGTGTGGAGAAAAGGGGACTCTAGCACACTGCTGGTGGGAATGCAGACTGGTGCAGCCACTATGGAAAACAATATGGTGTTTCCTCAAAAAAATTAAAATTGAACTGCCATTTGACCCAGTGATCCCACTTCCTGGGATATATCCTAAGAAGCCTGAAACACCAATCAGAAAGAATATATAAACTTCTATGTTCGTAGCAGCGCTATTTACAATAGCTAAGATCTGGAAACAGCCCAAGTACCCATCAGTAGATGAGTGGATAAAAAAGCTGTGGTACATTCACACAATGTAATACTATGCAGCAGTAAGAAAGAGAGATATCTTACCCTTTGAGACAACATGGAGGGACCTGGACAGTATTATGCTAAATGCAATAAGCCAGTCAGAGAAAAACAAGTACCACGTGATCTCACTTATTTGTGGAACATAATGAACAAAATAAGCTGTTGACCAAAAGAGATCGAGTCATAGAAGTCGAGACAGACTGACAAACGTCAGAGGGATGCGGGGTGGGAAGAAATAAACCAAAAAACTTATATGCATATATGCACAACCAATCAACATGGACACTAGGCTGGGGAAGGCTGGGAGTGGGAAGGATGGGGTTAATGTGGAAAAAAAGGGGACATCTGTAATACTTTCAACAATAAAAAAAAGAAACAATGATGTGAGAGAGATTTGTCAATCAGCTGCCTCCTGCACGGCCCCCACCGGGAATCGAACTGGGACCGCTCAGTCCATGCACCGTCGCTCAATCCACTAAGCCACTCTGGCTGGGCTTGATCATGAACTCTGAAAATGAACGATGGTGGGTGTCAAAGTGCTATGGTAGTTGGAATCCACAGAATATACTTCAAAAAGTAATGTAATAGTTTTACCTTAAGTTGAAAATGCAAATATTGACAATGTCAGGAAATGGTCTCCTTTGCAACTATTTAAATGTATGATGAAAACGTTCAGATGTCAACCTAAAAAATGTGGGAGTATATTCTTTCTTAAAATTCTTTGAGTATGGAAGTGTCAAGACTACTAGCGTGAAGGAGCTAGGAGACTGCAGCACTCTGAGAACAGAAACGAAGTCTGCAATGGTTATAGGAGCTTAAAGCAACTGTCTGACACCCATCAGAGGCATGGATACAAGAAAAATAAAACAGAAATCCCAAATCTTAATATTATTTATAACTGCCCATCACGTATCCCTTCAAAAATGGGGCAAATGACTGCTCTTTGTTTCTACTACTATCAACTTTCAGATAAAGAAATTTACCAGGTGGACAGCATTGCTAAGCATATTGCACAGCATGCCAATTTCACTATACATTTTACACAACAATGCCCGGTCGTTTAAACTAGGGCCCTTGCTTTACTTTCCACCTTACAAAGTAGTCACCTCCCCAGCTTCCACAGTTGAGGAACCCAAGAGCTTGTGAGCCAACTGGCAGATCAAATAACTTATAGGTGTCCTGTGAGATCTTCCTGCTACACCACCCTCCTCAGGTACTAAATACTACAATGCAGCATAGTACACACAGCTAAAGAGAACCCTTTTAATGTCAAGCCCTCCAAAGTGTGCACTGGTAATTACTGCCAGCTGTCTACCAAGGAGAGTTTCAGGCTAGTATGGCAGAGACACCAAATTGACTGAAACTTTATAAACATACCTAATTTCACTTTTACACATCTAGACTCTAAGCAGTAGAGCAGTAGGGCTGTTAATAGCTGACATCTAAAACGTGCCCAATAAATATTAAGACTTGATTTACTGAACAGTAGAAAAATAGTGTTCAATGAAAACTGGTTCTATGGGGAAGCCTCTACTTTTAGGACATAATAGATTCCAAGTTCTTAAATAGCCAGGTTGAATGCAACACCAAGACCTGCCTGCCTGTGCTTTATACATGTTTCTCTAGCAGTCTCAACCCAGAAGGGTCAAAGCTACCAAAGAATATTTTAACACTTTCTTCTACCTTGTAATCTTTCCCTGTGCGGGACCTATGTTCCTGAAGGCAATTTGTAATCCATTAAGGCTCCAGCGCTACCTGGCCTGGAGTCTTTCTAGTCACAGTTCTGATGCACTGTGAATGAAGTCCTCAGGTGGACTAGAAAATGACCCAACTGAGACTATAGAAAATGGTAGCCTTGATATGAGCCAATAAAATACAGCGCAGAGGCAAAGAAACAGACACACTAAGTAAGGGTTTTATTGTGCAGCAGCTCTTAGGAAGCAACAACAGTGCCTCTATTCAATGTTGGCCCATTTCACACAGCACCTTTTAACTTCAGCAGATGAGGCTGGATATCCCTCTACTGACAGCCAACTGTATCTATCCAACAGTACAAAAAATGTTGGCCTTCCTCTGTAGTCACTTGAAGAAATATATGAAATGCTGCAGACTTTCTTTTTTAAGGAGTTAACTTGTACCTTACTTTTTAAAAACAGGTTTCCAAGAGGAGCTCTAACCACCCCTAGAAATATCTTAACCAAACCAAATGCAGCCCGGGGCAGCAAACAACACACACAGGAAGATGTGAAATCCCAGGCCAATGAACTGCTGACGTTTTGCATACTTTAGACTTGAGTTAAGAGTCATTCATAATTTACCAATAATTCTACCATCTTCAGATTAGTTCTGGGCTTGAACAGACTTCCTTAATTATTGAAATATGGGAACTCATTCCTTTTAATTAAATAATTTTTAATAAGAGAGAAAAAGTGATTTGTGTTACCAGGGTTTCTCCCCCAAACTTTAAGAACCACTTGTGACTCTGCAGCTGGGACATCAGAAGAGGATAAAAATAAAATCGAAGGGGCAGGCGTTTGGGGCAAGAATATACAGTTGGTTCCATACAACCTTTGACTGGCATCAGAAAAGCCCAGTTAAAATGCAACAAGTGTGTTCCCTATCCTTTCAGATGCGTACATTTTCAATTTTATTGCACAGAGAAGCATTTAAAACATTTTCACTCAATGCGTTTAGAAGTGGAAATAAAGTTCTAATGATAATGCTTGACTTTTGTAGTCTACAGATAATTACAAACACATTTTTAAGAGTGAAAATTCCATTTTTGGCACCTTAATGGTATGAACACTGCAATGATGAATAGTGTACTCATTAATACAGATGATGACAGTTATATAAGAAAAAGTTTAATGTTCTGAGTTTACATTTACTGTGGATACATAGCTGATCTGGACTGTTAGATGAAGAGTTGTGTCATAAAGTAAGGATTTGCTATACTTAAGTTGACAAAGCTCATATTCAACCAAAACTCTCCTGGCTGTATGTTGGGGGAACCAGGTCTGAGTATAGCAAGGTGCACGATTCTGGCCGTAAGCGTAAGGTCATGATGCAGGGCAAGGTCACGATGCAGGGCAAGGTCACGATGCAGTGCTGAGAGGAAATACTGATGTGGTCAAGGCTGTCTTCCTACCAGTGCTGCCAAACAGGCTTTTAAAAGCACAGACAGACACACATTCTTATACTACATGCAGGGAAATGTGACACAAAGTATTGCATATGTTAATGTCAAGCTTGCTGCCACCATTTCTCTAAATATCCATGAAATTTTCTTATCAATTATACACACGAGGAAGCAAAATCTTTTAAAATTACCCCAAAATGATAACTATTTTACTAAAGAATGTATTTTCAACTAATTTCAGTGCTCTTGAAGGAAGTGCGTGTGCCAAGGAGAGAGGGAGGGAGGGAGGAAGGGAAGGAGACAGGGAGGGAACACATTTCTGAGTGTCATTTTTCCCTCCAAAACCACCCAATAAGGTCAACTTTGTTTTAAAGTGTTAGATTTAGGAAATTTTCCTCAGTGAGGAACAAACAGAAAGCAGGAAGTCTAAACAAAAGCAAATTAAATCAAGACAAGGACATCAAAAACAAATTTGGCTTTACTTTTCAGTGGAAGTAGGTCCTATATCTAACACTGCACAAGGTTTCTTGCACAATGAAGAGAGAAGCAGAAGTCCCTTACACTGCCTCGCTTTGCCAGAGAATCACCGTAGTCTGCTGGCAAAGTCCGCTTGCTGGACTTTTTCTGCTCATGTTCAACTGCATCTTCAATTATAGGCTCAAGCCTCATCTGGACAAACACCAAAGATTGGGATCAATGTCTTTTCATTATACAAAGAAAGATCTAATACCCTGTTTTATGTCTCTGCAGTCCAATTAAACAACTGCAAGACTAGCAGGATTCAAAGTTAAAGAAAATGCAAAACCCCAGCAGTGACAAAAATCAAACTTTCTAGGCCCCGACTTAATCTCTTGCCAACTTCAAGGTTTTTAAGGTCTGTTTCTGAGACCTGATTGGGATTTCAGCATCTTCATTCAAGATCCCACCCAGGAACCTAATCCATTAAAATCCCAGAATTTAAATACTTCCCCCACAAATCTCACAAAGCATATAGGTGAATCTACCCCCCAATCTTCCCCAACCCCTCTGTAGTGAAACTCATCCTCAGAAATAGTGCTGATATGCAAACCTCTGCTTCTCTTCAGACACCGAAATGCCGCTCTGCATTACCTCTGTGAGGATTGTGGTATCATAGGATGGCTGATACTTTTCTTTTTCGTGAGCAGTTCTCTTCTCCATCTTCTCTCGGTCAGTTTTTTGTTTCCGGTCTGCACCTTTCGGCTAAAATACAAAGCAGTTCATTTCATCTATTAGGTTACAAGGAACTTTACAAGCATAACTGGGCCTCCATTACTGAAAGCCTGGTTTTCATCTCTTACCTTAAAAACTTTGATTTGGCAGCTGGCTGAGTGTAGATGATCTGTGTATTCTCCATTTTCATTTTGCTTAAAGGTATCAACCTGGATCCTAAAAGGCACTCCCTTTTCACCACCATGCTTCCGTGGAGTAAATTCTGTGCTGATGCAGTGCACCTGTACAATGTGAAATGGGTTCAAAGTGCCATCCACTGATTTGCTCCCACTGGATGCCTGCCACCTCTATAAATTCAAGATCCTTTAAAATGAACCCGCACATCTTAGCCAGTATCTGTTATACATTTCCGATTTTTTTAATATATGGTTTTCCTTCCACAAATCCAACTAAGCCTTTCTGAACTTTTTGGAAATGAGCTATTCTACCCCATACCAGTGCTTCTCCTCCAAGGCAGAACTTGCTCCAGTCATGGGTACAAAAGTGAAATGATTCCTGCCTGCTTCCCCTACCTGCACTCCAGACCGTATGCTGCTCTCAGATCCAGGATCCTAAGCCTCGCTCGTGGCTCCACCCACAGCAACCCTCACCTCACCACTGCCCTCTACTGCCATTACCCCAAAGCCACCCAGTCAATCATTTTACTGCTGTTCCAACCTACATCAAGTTGGGATACTTTGCCAGGGGGATTTCCACAGTCCTACCCATACCCATCTAAACTCTTCCATCAACCCTTCCAAGGGTCCTGAGGGCAATACTCGTCTTCCACCACTTCTATACCCTCCTACCACCACCGCGAAGACAGCTTTAGGATACTTCACAGGATCAGTAAACAGATTTTGGTAGTTTCTGACTATATACATCCCATCTTCTTGTGACTCTCAAAGCTAAAACTGATTTCTGCAGTATCCTGTGCACAACCTGAGATTTAAGGCCAATCTTCCATCCCTTTCATTCACCACATAACTAGTTATCCGGTTAGACAAATATGAGAAAATATTCAACAAATACGAACCATGTCCCTAGTGACTATTAACCAAAGGGAGATATATTTGCCAGACCGCAAATATTCAAAATATCAAAGATTCTTTACTGTTCACAAAAACCACAGTCTACTTAGGCTGGTCAGCAATTAAGTGTATGTCTTTTCTACATAAGAGTACCTACTCAGTTGTTTTAATTCTACCACTTACAAATTTCAACATCCTGAGTGTTAGAATGACCATGAACTTTATTTTATATATACTAACATGACATTTATATTTTTAAAAAACTCATCTCTTAGAGATACAAACCGAGAATTTAAGGCTGACATAAAATGCCTGAGGGTCACCTGGCTGGTGTGGCTCAGTGCACTGAGCGTTGTCCCATTAACTGAGAGGTCCCAGTTGGATTCCCGGTCAGGGCATGTGCCCAGGTTGCGGGCTCCATCCCCAGTAGGGGGCAGGCAGGAGGCAGCCAGTCAATGTTTCTATCTTTCTCTCCCTTCCCCCCTCTCTAAAAAATCAATAAAAACATATTTTTAAAAAATGCCTGAGGGTTGCTTAAAAGTATTCCACCAATAACTTAAAAAGGGGAAGCTACTAATAACTGTTGAAGCCAGGTGATAAGTACACAGAGGATTTCATTATTATTTTTTATTTTTATTTTACTTTTGTGGATGTTTAAAAATTTCAGTATCAGAATGTTTTTAGCAGAGAATATTAAAACAGGACACTTTTTCAATCACATCCTTTTAAATGGCAGCTTTGATTCAAGAGAAATGCATCTTATAAAAAACGGAAGTTTTGATTACTGTTACTACCAGTGGTAAAAGTAACACCTGAATAATGCTTTACACATCAGATTGCCTTTACATATGTCAGTCTGTAATGGCAGATTTAGTGGATTAACTCTGATTTAAGTGTATACTATATTTTTTAAAAGATATTACAAGATAGTTTACAAAAACACTTTAACATGCATCAAGAATTCAACCTCATCCATGGCCTTCTAAACGACTAGGCTAGTATATGTCTAGCAATGTAAAATATCCAAACCTGAATGAAAGCAGATGTGCGTTTTGCAGGGTCCCACAGAAACTCAACCGCATTTAACTGGCTTGGATTTGTCCTTGTGTCAATTATTCCCACAGACATTGGAATATCTATATTTTAAAAAGAAGTCACACAGAAACTCATCTACTGAGAATAATTTAAAAGCTTACAACTTACACTAATTACGTTCTAGTGAAAATGTTACACCTCCATGGTGCACTTTGTTCTTCAATATTCTCTGTGGTCAACCATTTCAACACCAAACCCACCTAATGAGTATCATACTTTCTCCCACCAAGGTTTTTATTCATTTTAATCAGAATATGATGGGTAGTGCCAAAGGAGAATTAAATAAATGGTTTCAAACTGATAAATTCCTGGCTCAGGGTCTTTTAGCACCAAAACTCTACAGTTGGCCCTCTAACAACAAGAATGCAAACTGCACAGGGCCACTTATATGCGTATTTTTTCAATATATATATATTATAAATGTACTTTCCCTTCCTTATAATTTTCTCAGTAAGATTTTCTTTCTTCTAGCTTACTTTAAGAATTCGGTATATAATACACATAACATACAAAATGTTAATTGACTGTTTATATTATCTGTAAAGCTTCTGATCAACAGCAGGCTATTAGGAGTTAAGTTCTGGAGGAATCTAACGATGTGCAAATTTCTGACTGCAAAGGGGTTGGCTCCTGTAACCCGAGTGTTGTTCAAGAACCAACATTTTAAAACATAAAACTCAAGCCCTGGCCAGTTTGGCTCAATGGTTGGAGCATTGGCCTGTGGACCAAAGGGCCATGGGTTCAATTCCCAGTCAAGAGCACATACCTGGGTTGCAGGTTCAATCCTGGGCCCTAGATGGGGTCATTCAGAAGGCAACCAATTGATGTGTCTCTCTCACATGAAAGTTTCTCTCTTTCTCTCTCCCTCCCTCCTTCCCTTACACTCTCTCAAAAATAGATAAATTAATTAATTAAAAACCAAATAACAGCCCTGGCCGGTTTGGCTCAGCGGTTAGAGCGTCAGCCTGCGGTCCACAGAGACCTGGGTTCGGTTCCCGCTAAGGGCATGTACCTTGGCTGCAGTTTGTCCCCGGCCCTGGTTGGGTCGTGTGGGTGGCGGCCACTCGATGTGTCCCTTTCACATCGATGTTTCTCTCTCTTTCTCTCTCTCCTTCCAGCTCTATCTGAGTAAAAAATGGAAAAATGTCCTCGGGTGAGGATAAAAAAAAACCCAAATAACAGCCAAGTCAGTGTGGCTTAGTGGTTTAGCACTGACCCATGCACCAAGAGGTCACCGGTTCAATTCCCGGTCAGAGCACATGGTTGTGGGCCCGATCCCCAGTGGTGGGTATGCAGGAGGCAGCCGATTGATGTTCTCTCTCATCAATGTTTCTATCTCTCTCCCTCTCCCTTTCTCTTTAAAATCAATAAAGGGAAAAAACAAAAACAAAAAAAAACAGCCTGGCCAGTGTGGCTCAGTGGATTGAGCATTATCCCAGAGGTTCCCAGTTTGATTCCCAGTCAAGGCACATGCCCAAGTTGCAGGCTTAATCCCCAGTAGGGGGCAGGCAGGAGGCAGCCGATTGATGTTTCTCACGTCAATGTTTCTCTTCTCTCCCTTCGTCTCTCTGTAAAAAAAAAAAAAATCAATAAAAACATATTAAAAAAAAAAACTCAAGGCACATGGAATCTACTCATACCAAAACTCTCTCTATACAATTACACATGGTGCCAACACAGGTAAAACTAAAATGCCTTCATTATGTCTGTCCATGTTGTTCTGATGGTCATTTGTACCTAAATCAAGAAGTCTATCTCCTGGGCGATTCCACTTCCAACCTTCAAGTTGCTGATGTTCTGTATACTGTAGCCGTCTATCATGGAATACGACTCTTATGATGCTCTATGGAATAAATAGGGAAAATGAGTACTTTTAAACTGTTCCAGCAAAAATGCAGCAGTTTCACTTCTTATTCATTCCTATAATAGGATAGCATACAAAAACAAATTCTGCTTTCAACATTTTATAGGTTAACTGTTTTGCTCTTGTATACCTAGACTATGGGTACGCTTATTTGGTACAAAGAATTATAATTCAAATGTAAAAATCCTAAATAAAATGATTAGGTACAATTTTTTTAATTAATTTATTTTTGTTACAGATGTTTCTCCCTCCCCGCCCCCCCACTGATTACTCCTTCCTCTCCCTCCCCACCATGTCCCAAGCTTTGTTGTCCAAGTCCATTGTTCATGCATACATGCATAAGTTCTGTGGTTTATCTCTGGTACAATTTTTATTTAAAAACTTGATATTGCAAATTCAGAATTAAGACCCATGCCCACAAAATTTATAAGCAAGAGTTATGTTTCTAGGAAGAAAACACTGAACACAGGAATTACTAAAATGAAAAAGTGGTATAAAGAGAGAAACCCAGGTACAATAATAAAACTGCTCATTTAAAATAAGTTAATAAAAGTATCTTAAAAAAAACAGTCATCTGGGGGCAAGAGGGGGGATCTGCCCCCACCTGAGAACCTATAGCAAAATTCACTCTCAACTATTTTACCTGAAAATTGAGGTTATCTGAGGTAAGAAAAAAAATAAATAAATAAATAAAAACAAAAGATAACTTTATCTAAACACTCAAGTTCCTAAGCAGATAACTCCACAAACTCTAGGCCAAGTCTCTGTTCTCCACCGATCATCCCTCCTTCACTTCCTACAGGTCTGGGGAGCCTGCTAATATTTCATTCCAGGTACAGGATTCAACAGGTCATCAAAATACATTCAGATTTGTACTAATTCGTGTTTCTGACACATTTATAACTATTTCTCAGACTACACTGCAATAAGTTAATCATATTTCCAGTAGACTCTGTTGGTTTGAATACGAAATAACTTGTTGGCAATACATATAAATACTACTTTAGTGTACCTGTCATGCTCACCCCCAACCCTAAACAATGTCCAAAATGTAGCTGATAATCATTTTGATGGAATCTGAAAATAACAATACTTTGCCCTGGCCGGTTTGGCTCAGCGGTCAAAGCATGGGCCCACAGACCAGAGCCTCGAGTTCAATACTGGTCTAGGGCACGTACCTCGGTTGCAGTTTGGTCCCTGGCCCTGGTCAGGGTCATGCAGGAGGCAACCAATTGATGTGTCTCTCTCACATCCGTATCAATGTCTCTCTCTCCCGCCCACTCTACCTGAAGAGAAACAGAAAAATATCCATGGGTGAGGATTGAAAAAAAGGTAACAATAGCCCTGGCCGGTTTGGCTCAGGTCTGTGGGCCCATGGTCTGTGGGCCCTGGCCGGTTTGGCTCAGTGGTAGAGCACTGGCCCATGGACCAAAGAGTTATGGGTTCAATTCTAGTCAAGGGCACACACCTCGGTTGTGGTTCGTCCCCAGTCCCCAGCCCTTGTCATGACAAGCTCTCAGTGAAACTGACTTAAGACCTTTTAAAAATTAACCCTTTCCAATCTTTAATCAAAATGTGTAGGGATAATGTTGCTTTCAAAATAAGTGCCCTTGTCTAGGTACAAGATCCACTTTGTCCTTATAAGTGAATGGTTTCTCTACTGCCAACAGTTCATTATCTCATGATGAAGAGTCGGTTTTGCCTTAATTTCTTCCCTTGCATTAAGTTTTTGTATTAAATGCTTTTACATGTTTTAATTTGGAATGAAATCCAAGGAAATTGAGCAATTACTTAACTCTGCCATTCCAAGTTTATCTGACAGGTATTTTAACTAGCTTGCTAAAAGTATTTTAAACATTAAGTCTCACCTATCAGACTGGTTATTTTTAAATCTTACCTCCTCATCAGCAAACTGCCCTAGAAAGCCAGCTTATTCTCATTGATAAATAACAAACTGCTTCAGAATGACTTGCTTCAGTGCTTTGATGGAAACTTAGTTTCGCATTTAATCTACATGGCAAAATTTGTTATAGTTTCCTCAGAACTCTGAATAGTCGTGAATGATGAACTCAGTTAAAATATGAGTTAAGACTTCCGGTCAAGATGGCGGGTAGGGAAACGCGGTATCACGTCCTCCCACAACCACATCAAAGTTACAACTAAACTACAGAACAACCATCATTCAAAACCGCCTGAAATCGAGCTGAATGGAAGTCCTACAGCTATGGGATTAAAGCAGCAGCCACATCCAGACTGGTAGGAGGGCGGAGGGGACGGGCTGGGCCCACACCCACGTGTGGCGGATAAAAATCAGGAGGACACCTCGGCTGGGAAGGTCCTCCCTGAGGACTGAGGGGTCCCCGTCCCACACCAGGTGCCCGCTCAGGGTTCCAGTGCCAGGAAGAGAATCCCCATAACTTCTGGCTGGAAAAACCAGCGGGAACTGAGGCTTAGGGAGGCTGAGGCTGCTGGAGCCCCAGGCAGCTCCTTAAAGGGCCCGCGCACAGACTTACCGGACTCCCTCCCTCTAAGCTCGGAGGGGAGGCAGCTCGAGGGGCACCAGAGACACACAGGGAAGAACTGAGCTGTTTGGCACTGGAGCGAGGGCTGGAGAGGGGGCTTTCTCCCGGACAAACGTGCTGTCCGAGGCCTTTGTTCCTTTGGTAAGCCCTTCCCGGGGGCAGACAGTCGCCATATCTGGGACTCCAGCAACCTGGCTCACACTGGTAGCCCCGCCCTGGTGACTCCCTGAGGCCCCGCCCCGCCCCACCCAACTTTCAAGCCCACCCAAGCTGTTGCCACTTGCTTAACCATAGGATTGGCCTGTCTTGGATCCTGCTTCAGGTTTTCCTAAATTCTTTCAAACGAGAAGCATCTGGTCTCAGCGAGCCCCATACCTCTCATTAAGTAATACACTGAAACAAACACAGGGAGGCAGCCAAAATGAGGAGACAAAGAAACAGGTCCCAAATGAAAGAACAGAACAAAACCCCAAGGAAAGAACTAAGCGGAATGGAGATAAGAAACCTAACAGATACTGAGTTCAAAATACTGCTTATAAGGATGCTCAATGAACTCAGTGAGGGCCTCAAGAGCATAAAAAAGGACCAATCAGAAATGACCGATGCACAGTTAGAAACGAAGGAGACTTTAACTGAAATAAAAAATAATTTACAAAGTTTCAATAGTAGAGTAAGTAAATCAAAGAAGCAAACCATTGATTTGGAATATAAGGAAGCAAAAAACGCCCAATCAGAACAGCAAAAAGAAAAAAGAATCCAAAAAAATGAGGAGCATGTAAGGAGCCTCTGGGACAACTTCAAGTGTGCCAACATTCGCATCTTGGGGGTACCAGAAGGAGAAGAGAGAGAACAAGAAATTGAAAACCTGTTTGAAACAATAATGGCAGAAAACTTTCCTAACTTGGTGAAGGAAAGAGACATACAAGTCCAGGAAGCACAGAGTCCCAAACAAGATGAACCCCAAGAGGCCCACACCAAGACACATCATCATCAAAATGCAAAAGTTTCAAGACAAAGAGAATCTTAAAAGCAGCAAGAGAAAGGCAGCTAGTTACCTACAAGGGAGTTCCCATTAGGCTGTCAGCTGATTTCTCAAAAGAAACTTTGCAGGCCAGAAGGGAGTGGCAAGAAATATTCAGAGTGATGAAAAGCAAGAACCTACAACCAAGATTACTCTATCCTGCAAAGCTGTCATTTAGAATCGATGGACATATAAAAACATTCCCAGACAAGAAAAAGTTAAAGGAGTTCATCACCACCAAACTGTTATTAGATGAAATGATGAAGGGTCTTTTTGAAGAAAAAGATAAAATATATGAACAAACAAAATGGCAATGAATACATATCTATCAACAATGGAATCTACAAACAAAACGAACAGGTAGAACAGAAACATTCTCATAGATACAGAGAACATTTTGTTGCTTGCCAGTTGGGAGGGGGGTTGGGGAAATGGGTGAAGAGATTAAGAAGTACAAATTCATTGCTAGACTGACAAACCTCAAAGGGAAAGGGGTTTGGGGGGGGGGGGGGAATAAACCAAAGAACTTATCTGCATAACCAATGGACAGACAATAGTGTGGGAAAAGGTGGGAGGGGGGTGGGAGTGGGAAGGAGGGGGTCAATGGGGAAAAAATGTGGAACATCTGTAATACATTTTACATCCAACAACAAAGATTTAAAAATATATATATATGAGTTAGACCTTGCCCGTTTTGGCTCAACGGTTAGAGCATCAGCCTGTGGTCCAGAGAGACCCGGGTTCAGTTCCTGCTAAGGGCACGTACCTTGGTTGCAGTTTGTCCCCAACCCTGGATGGGTCATGTGGGTGGCAACCACTCGATGTGTCCCTTTCATGTCGATGTTTTTCTATCTCTCTCTTCCCCTCTTTCCCTCCCACTCTGTCTGAACAAAAAATGGAAAAATGTCCTTGGGTGAGGATATATATATATATATATATATATATGAGTTAAAATTATGAATTAGTAAATTCCATAGTCTAGTAAAAAAAGAAAAGAAAAAACAAGCACAGGGAATAAATGAAACAAGATGGTCAAACTGTTGATAACTGTTGAAACTGGTGGGAGAACTTACTATGAGAACTCATGATACACGTCTATTTATCATATTTACTGCATGATAAGATACATGTGGATTCATTCATCATACCATTCTCACTACCACTGGGTATGTTTGAATTTAACCATGAGAAATTAAAAAAACAAAAAACGGTTCTAATATTTTTGGATCCAGTTTAAAGGACCTCAATTCAGGGTCTATCAAGCCCTAGTCATTTTATTAAAATTAATTTTTATAATTAAAACAATTTTTCGAATCTTTTACACTGTTTTTTTTTTTAAGTCAGTATCTCAGAATCATCCAATGTAACTTTCACAGGCACAGGAGAGCTCACCCACATCTTCCTTTATAATATACTAGGCTGCATTTTAATCAGGTGTGGTACAGCTGGCAGACTTCAGCTGGGTGCCCAATGGCTTGTCTGACAACAGGCCAGCTGTGACAAGGGCATATTGACAAAATCTTCACATGCTAAGTTTTCTAGATACTGGAAAATCAGAGCTGTTAGTTTGGCTCCTTGAGCAAGCAGTAGCTGCTTGCCACTGGGGTCCAGTCGACCCAGCTTGCCCACTGACAGCAATGCTGATGACTTTCTAAAATGGTGACTCTAACCAGTGTTTGCTACAGGTCTGAATGCCAACGGCGGGGAATAAAAAATAAGACCATTTGATTCCACCAATTGAGCACAGACGTGACAGACTCAAAGTGCAGATGGCAAATGTGAGAACAGGCAATAAACTCTCCTTCTCATCCAAGTATGTTGGGAGTCCAAGAGTCAGAAGGAGAAATCTGGGAGCTCACTGACGGAATGGCAAGACAATAATCCAGTGGGGACCAGACCCCGTACCTTTTTCTTCAACTTCTTATAGGATTGTGGGTGTCCTGCCTGGCCCAGGAGGGGGAAGAGTACTGAAATAGCCCAAAGACTCTCCGGCCTCTGGTTGCTGAGCAGCTGGCGTACCCAGACACCCCAAATTTGTTAGCATTAGTATTAGGATCCTCTCCCCCTAACAAGGCTGCCTTTCATATACTTGCCCCCCAAAAAGGCATGTCCCCAGAGGGGAGAGTACTTCTTTCTAATGGAATGTCTCTCCATACCGAGGGCCCAGCAGTACCGGGGCCCCTAACATGCCCATGTGGGGCAAGGGAAGGATCAAGAGAACTCATGCCTGCTTCTCTCTTGCTAACACATAGCCACACTGAAGTTTTTCTTAATTAAGCTTCTTCCATAAACCTTGCCCTGTAATGCTACAGAGTTTATAATAAACCATGGTGCATGACAGGTAGAGCTAGAAGGACCCACCTTGCATGACAACAGAAGGGGCAGAGATAGCTCTGAAGCTACATCCTAAAAGCAATGGGTTGGCTGGCAAATAGCTACACCTCCTATACCTGGAATGACTGACTTCTTCATTCAGATACATCAGTAGGGTTAACAGAGATTTCAAATTTTACTTAGAGAAATTTTAAGAAGTGAAATAAAAAAACTTTTTAAGGTTTCATTTTAGCATTGAAATTTTCTTTCACATTATCTTTCACTTTTATTTTTATTTATTTTTTATTCCTCACCCAAGGATATTTTTTATTTATCATTAGATAGAATGGGAGGGAGGGAGGGAGAGAGAGAAATATCGATGTGACAGCCATATCAACTGCTTGCCTCCGTGTCACATGACCTGATCAGGGCTGAGGACAAACCGCAACTGAGGTACATGCCCTTGACTGGAATTGAACACATGACTCATTGGTCCACAGGCCCACACTCTAACCGCTGAGCCAAACCGGCCAGGGATATCTTTCACTTTTAAAGAGAAACTTGAAGTTTTTGTAGCATTGGTAGGTCTTTGCCCACATAATTTCAAGTAAAGTTTCTATGGTACCTTTCCAAAGGGCTTTCACATTGCCTCAGAAAGTCAGGAGCTTTTAAATAGCCATAACTTCTTAAAGTAAAATTAAGTAAGTTGTTTATAAAAACTCTTGCAGCAAAACTTTTTTTTTTTTTTTAATTCACTGCAATACTTGTTAGGAAAGTAAGTGGATTGACCATACCTTTACCAATTTTCCAGTGATCTCAGGCATATCTCCCATTTTCCGATTATCCAGCATCCGAATTTCATAAGACTGACCTATTTAAATAAATTGTGCATCAAAAACAATCCATATGAAGAACAGCACTCTGTTTAACATAAAAATTTTAACTATTAGAACATATGATTATCCAATGTTCGTTAGTTAGAAACGCAAATTCAGCTTTACCTTTCTTTTTCCTACAAATCTTACCATCCTTTCCTTTTACGCTATTACAGAAGACCAAAGAATTTCTGTCAATTTGTTTTCATTTTCATCTGTTACTCTCCCACATTAAATTTACACTATATATACATCCATTATCCAAGACCAACTTTTTATAACAGCTTTTTTGAGATATAATTCACCCTTTTAGAGTATACAGTTGGATTTAAGTAGATTCAGAGTTGTGCAATCATCACCACTATCAATTTTAGAACACTTTCATCACCCCAAAAAGAACTCAACCCCATTAGTAGTCGCTACTCACCACTCCCACCTCCCAAGACCCATGCAACCACTGATCCATCTACTTTCTGTCTCTAGTGATTTACCTACTTTGGACACGATATAAAGGCCACAACCCGTGGCCTTTTGTGACTGGTTTCTTTTACTAAACATAAGATGTTTTCAAGGTTCATGCATGTTGTAGCATGTATTACTACTTTATTACTTTTTATTGCCAAATATTATTCATTGCATATATATACCACATTTGTTCACTCATTCATCAGTTGATGAACAGGTGGTTTCCACTTTTTGGCTATTATGAATGACACTATGAACATATGTGTACAAGTTTTTGCGTGAACCAAGGTCAAATTTTAATCCTAGAGCTGTCATGGTGTCCAATGAACCCAACTCATGTTTTCTCACTGCTCAATTAGTGTCCAGAAAAAAACACAAAATATTCACACACCAATCTATATAGTTAGGAAAATAAGCTGCTGCCAAAAGTTAACAACATACTTTTAATTCTACAAAAATTATTTCTGCATCATCTGTTACTAAATAATAAAAATGACAGTATAATTGCTATGTAGGAAATCAGTAGAAATTAGAGTGCTTTTAGTACCATATGAAGTTGAGGCTCTTTATACCTACAATATATTGTCCACCCTCCACTGGGGCTTACAAAAAATATATATATATATATACGAAGGGTACTAGATCACAGGATCAAAATACAACAAAGGGTCATCAAAATATAATGAGATCACTCTAAGGCTGGTGAAGGAAAACAGCTATATATGCTATGTTCCTAAGGAATAGTCCTTGAATTCATTCAACAGATTGTGAGAGATTAACAATAAAAAACACCTTTATGGCAAGAGACATTTTTAAAAAATTCTCACTCAAGGATATGTTTTTTGTTTTGTTTTGTTTATTTTAGAAAGAGGAAGGGGGGAGGGGGAAGAGTGGGAGTTGGGGGGCAGAAAGACATCAAGGACATTGATGAGAGAGAGGAACATTGACTGGTTGCCTCCCATATGTGTCCTGACTGGGGATTGAACCCACAACCTAGGTATGTGCCCTTACCGGCAATCAACCCCCACCTTTTGGTGTATGGGACGATGCTCCAACCAACTGAGCCACACGGGCCAGGGCAAGGACATTTTTTAATTGTTAAATTTTCAGCATACTAAACAATGGATCTGGATTCAGAAAGAACAGTAAGAAATAATTTTTAAAATAATGCATATGAATAGATACCTTCGAGAAATACACCATTATACATTTACAATTACACTCAACCTCACAAGAATTCAGGAAATACCAAAAAAATGCAAGAAAGGGAATATTTGCAACTCACATTACACACAAAGGGCTAATCTGCCTAATAAATAAAAAAGTACAAAATTGCTAACAAATGTCTAATATCACTAGAAGAAAAAAAGGGGCAATGAAATGAACACAGTTAATAAAAGAAAGAAATGCCAACAGTTCTTAAATATCTTAAGAGACTCAAACTGCATCAGGAAATGCAAGTTAAAACCACAATGAAACCATTCATCTGCAGGTTAGCACAAACCTCTGGTCTGAGCTGCCGAGGCTAAAGGGAAACAGTCATAATGATGACAATAGGAGTGGACATGAAAGAAGCGGGCACTCTCTGAAGATAGTTGGAAGGTAGAGCCTGACCAGGCATTTTCTGGAGTATCAGAGAGAAAGTGAGAGAAGAGCTGAAGATTACTCCTGATTTTTAGCCAAGGCATTTCTTGACCTGGAGAAGAGCACAGGAGTCAATTTGGGGGAAAATCAAGAGGGCGATTAAAGCCTGGCCGGTGTGGCTCAGTGGTTGAGCGCCGACCCATGCACCACGAGGTGACTGGTTCAATTCCTGCTCAGGGCACATGCCCAGGTTGTAGGCCTGATCCCCAGCGGGGGGCATGCAGGAGGTGGCCAACTGATCTCTCTCATTGAAGTTTCTCTCTCTCTCTCCCTTCCTCTCTAAAAATCAATAAAGAAAAAATTTTTTTTCTTTTAAATGTTTTTAAAAAAAAGAGTGCGATCGAATACATTAAATCTGAGATACCTTTTGGACGTCCAAGTCAATAATCAAGTTGATTCACAAATATGCAGCTAAGAGGAAGCGATCTGGGTTGGAGATATTAACAGGGGACTTCTCAGGGTACGGTTGTTAGGTAAAGCTTTTAAAGACAGGATTATCTAAGGAGTGAGTGGAAGAGAAAAGGGCCAAGAAACTTCTCTGGATAAAGTGAGTAATCCCAAAAAAGCAGCCAGTGGGATGAGAGGCGGACAATGCACAGTGTGTGTCCTGGGAGCCCTTTCATTCGGCTGCCAAGGGAGAGAAAACTTGTCTCACCGGGATTATCTTGTGATTTTAGAAAATTCTCACGAGTGAAAAAATTAAACTAAGGAAGAGATCTCAATGGTCCTATCTTCTTTTATATTATTTTTCCTAGTTAACCTAACAAGGAAACATCTGTGTTCAATATATGTTCAATCTGTTTTCACAAACAGATCTTCAAGATTTGTTGTTCCTGTATTAAAGCACTGAAGATTTTTATATTTTAAAATCAAGTGTGTTGTTGTTGTTTTTTAAGGCCTAGTAATTGCTTCAAATGGTTTCCCTAATGAAAACATGTATGTCCTCAACTCCTTTAGAAATCCCTCTCTACCAGCAATGCTCTTCAGTGGGAATATCCACTGAGCGAACTACTAGACTTTTGTTGATTTAATTTCCTCTTCATAATTCTTTTTTTTTTTTAATCCTCACCCGAGGACATTTTTTCGACATTTTGTTCAGATAGAGTGGGAGGGAGGGACAGAGAAGAAGAGAGAGAGAGAGAAACATCGACATGAAAGGGACACATCTAGTGGTTTCTCTCTCTTCCTCTTTCCTTTCCACTCTATCTGAACAAAAAAATGGAAAAATGTCCTCAGGTGAGGATAAAAAAAAGGAAAAAGAAATGCAAAAGCACTGACAGAGTTGAAAACTACAACTGTTGTGAGTTCATGTCCCCAACCACCTTTGACTATAGACTCGGTCTACCTTCCTCAGATAGAAACCCAAGCAACATGGAACCCAAGATGTGACAGCCTACCTTGGTTAAGTTCAAAGCATTTATTTTTCAGGTCCCAATAAAAACTTTAAATAAAAAACCAAAGCTAACTTCAGGGAAATCTACTACTGTGTAAAATGAAATCAACAAAAAATGACAGTTACGTGCCTCATAATGATGGTTCAGTCAACAACAAACCACATAAGTATACAGGAACTGAAAATTTTTATCACCTAGTGACATCCAGCCATTGTAAATTCCTAGCACAGGGCATTACAATAATACCCCAGGCCTTCACATTCACTTACCGCTCACTCGCCTACTCACCCAGAGCAACTTTTCCAGTCCTGCAAGCTCTATTCACAGTAAGTGCCCTATACAGGTGTACCATTCATGTTTTCTACCGTATTTTTACTATGCCTTTTCTATGTTTAGATATACATATACTTACCACTGTACTACAAATACCTATACTACTCAGCACAGTAACATGCTGTACAAATTTGTAGCCTAGGAGCAATAGGCTGTACCATATCTCCTAGGTTTGTGTAAGTGTACTGTATGGTATTCCCATGACAATGAAATCATTCTCAGAACATCCATTGTTAAGCAACACATGACTGTATTTTCTGTTTTGAAGCTTCTATCATTTAACAGTATTTTTAACCCAATAAGACATGTATTTCCTATGGCCTAAAACCTGTTTGCAAAGTAGTTAACTATTAGAGGATTCTCCAAGTAGAATCTGGCCTCCAAGTGAACAGGTATTTCTAATCCAACAGCAGCAATGAACTGATCTGAAATAAATCCAGGAGTTAAGATACAAAGCCTCACTCACATCATGAGGTGTGAAATCATCAAAGACTTGGCTGGAGCTACAAACCAAGGGCAACCTATTGCACCTAAATCCCCTCAAAGGAGAGCCAGCTGTGTTTCTCCACCCTCTTGTGGTTATATTGGGACTAGTTTCTTACTTCACAAAGTCAGACTTAACTCTTCTTGTTACCTAAGAGCAGAGGACAGCTGCTTAGGCATAACTTAGAAAACACAAAGTTGTAAAGCTCTGTACTTCTATTGTTCGAAACAGTACCAAACTGACAGTCTAAGACATCAATACAACTTGGAGAACTTGTTCCAATTTCTATCTGACTAATGAAGTTAAGACTACACAGAATTTACTTTTTTCCCTTTGTGTTACACAATGACAAATATTCTTCAGTATAGCTGCCCAGATGGCAGAAAGTAAGCAATGAACTTTAAGGGGAGGTTACGAGGAGTGACCAAGCTATGGCCAAAGAATGGTGCATAGCCCCTGCTATGTGCCAACCCTCCTCTGAGGAAATCCATCTGTAAAAGGCGGTGGTGAGGGGAAGCTCTTAGTTGCCTGAATGCGCAAAAAAATTCAGCATGGTCCCCAAACTAGCAACATCAGTATAACATGGAAACATGTCAGAACTGCAAATTCTCCAGCCCTGCTCCAGACCTACTGAATCAGAAACTCTATGGGGTCCAGCAACCACATTTTAACAAGC